GTGTTCGAAAGCATTCACTATAAAAATTCGTGATATCAAGAAATCTATTTCTTGATATCAAGAAATGAATTCTTGATATCAAGAATTCGAATTCTTGATATCAAGAAATGATGTTTAGATATCAAGAAATGAATTCTTGATATCAAGTAATCGAATTCTTGATATCAAGAATTGATTTCTTGATATCAAGAATTACCATTGGTTCACAACGTAAAATCATTTCTTGATATCAAGAATTCAATTCTTGATATCACGATTTCGACTTCTTGATATCAAGAAATGAATTCGTGATATCAAGAAAGCATATTTGTGATATCAAGAATTGAATTCTTGATATCAAGAAATGATTTTACATTGTAAAGCAATGGTAATTCTTGATATCAAGAATTGAATTCTTGATATCAAGAATTGAATTCGTGATATCAAGAATTCGATTTCGTGATATAAAGAAATGATTTCTTGATATCAAGAAATATGTTTAAATGATAAAACGGCTTGCCATAAGGCCGCATAGAAGCTAACAGTAGTGGTAATGTTTTAACAACTTACTTACAGTGCCAGGGGCACCAATAGTGACAATGTTAGTGAATAATTTCTTGCGTGCGCTCCCTTTTTGATCATTCTATCACTTTCTCTTTCTGTCTTTTCTTATGTTATCCTTTGTTTCTTCCTTCCATCATCTTCTCTTATGTTATTCTTTGTTTTTATCTTTCTGTCACTTTCTCTTCTGTCTTTATTAATGTTATTCTCTGTTTTTTCCTACTTTCACCTTCTCTTATGTTATTCTTTTTTTTGTATCATTCTATCACTTTCTCTTTCTGTCTTTCCTTATTTTATTTGTTGTTTCTTCCTTCCATCATCTTCTCTTATGTTATTCTTTGTTTTTATCTTTCTATCACTTTCTCTTCTGTCTTTTCCAATGTTATTCTACGTTTTTTTCCTTCTTTCACCTTCTTTTATGTTATTCTTTTTTTTTATCATTCTATCACTTTTTCTTTCTGTCTTTCCATATTTTATCCTTTGTTTCTTCCTTCCATCATCTTCTCTTATGTTATTCTTTTTTTTTATCATTCTATCACTTTCTCTTTCTGTCTTTCCTTATTTCATCCTTTGTTTCTTCCTTCCATCATCTTCTCTTATGTTATTCTTTGGTTTTATCATTCTATCACTTTCTCTTTCTGTTTTTACTTTCTGATTTACGCTGCGATGTAGCAAGATGAAGTCATTATGACGACGGGTCTCTAGTTTTCTGACGAACCCCAAATCATCGATGAACGGGTTCGCAAATTTGGCCTGACGACGCCAAACGACCCGACGCATGCGCAAATCACCGAAATGACGTCACATCTACGCACAAATCATAGATTTTACCTAACTCGATGGCTCAAATCAACTAACAGCGCTCTAACAACGTTTCCTGTACGGTCATTTTACCCGTGTTGTTAGTGGCTGATTTGTTAGTGACTTGTTAGCGCTAACAAACCTGCTACTAACAGCGTTTCTGTGCGGCCCGCCCAGGTCTTTTGTTAGTTGTTTTTCTAAAGGCCCGGTCACACAGAGGGGACGCATGGGGAACGCACGGCCAGCGCATTGGAAATGTGCAATTTTGGCCAGTGCGTTGTCGTGCGCCCAACTTTTGTCGAAGCTACAGCTAACTGACACCAAATGCATAGCGTGTTGCTAGCGCGCTGGACGCATACAGGGCGCACACAGGGCGCACACAGGGCGCACACAGAGCGCACATGATAACAACTTCCACGAATGCACAGCGTGTTGCTAGCGCGCTGGACGAATGGTCCACGCATGCACCGCGTTCTACGACGCACGGCCAGCGCATTGGAAATCGGAAAAGAACGTGTGCCTAACTTTTGTCATAATTTTGGAAAAGCTAGCGAGCTGACACAAAATGCACGGCGTGTAGCTAGCGCGCTGTGCGTATACAGGGCGTGTGCTCCACGCATGTCTGGCGCTGGTCTAGCGCGCTCCACGCATGTCTGGCGTGCCTTTGGCGTGTATATTCATGCGTCGAGCTCGGCGCACGTTTTTGAGCATGCTCAAAAAATCCCGACGCACACAGCGAATGACGACGCATGCATAGCGCTGGTCCAGCGTTGGTCCAGCTCGCTCGACGAACGAGTAACGAATGATGACGCACGCCTAGCGAACGACAACGCACTGGCCCAAATTGCAAATTTCCAATGCGCTGGCCGTGCGTTCCCCATGCGTCCTCCCTGTGTGACCGGGCCTTTAGCTGGTAACGTCGCTTTCATTCTCTTGCAATTGCCGATAAACATGTAACTAGCGCACGTACGTTCCATCACAAGCATATGCCGCGCCTAGAGCAGCGGCCTGGTCTTACATCCCGATTCTGCTCGCTTCACGAACGTTCGTGCTATAGAGCCGCACCACTCGCAGATGAATATCGTTCGATCACTAATCTCAGACGTTGTCAAAATATTACAGAGGAAGCGCGCTTGCTTGATCTCGTCAAAGTTTGATATTTTACCACATATTATGTTTAACTGGTACTGTGTCCTTTTTTGAGGTAGTCACACACAAGTACTATCATATAGTTTTAGGCCTATTCGTTTTACAAAACATCCGCAAAATGCATCCGCCTATTCATACGTGCATGATTTAACCTTGTTTCCCAAGCAGTAAACTCGTCTTAAATCTCTACCAAATAGGTGAATATGAGGATATAAAAAGGAATCAGCGACTGGAAAACGTTGCTTCGTTATTCTTCATTCAAATGAAAACAGAAAATCAATCAAATATACTCATTAACAACAACAAATCTAAGCTCTGACAGGATAGCATTTACGTAGGGATATCACTGCCATTCACTCTCACTGAGCCCATGAGTCCCGTTAGTGACGTCACGGATAGAGGGCCGACTCTACATGCACTTCCGGGTTTCAGTCTTAGATATTTTGGTAGAGTTTACTCGCATTAATTCACCATTCTTAACTTGTTTTTGTCAGTTGGACACCATTTAGTGTTATTCTGGGGGTTAAAAGCTGTCTATTGAGGTAATTATCTCAATATTTGGGATTTTCTTAGAATATCAACTTTAAATGACTAAAGCTATATGGTCACATTACAGAGCGGCGACCGACCGATTTGTAGCCTGCTCGGTCACCGCTGGAATTTATGCATCGCCCAACGATTTTTTGAGAAGTCAACCAGGGTGTATAGCCTCAGCAATGCTTGGGCGGTGGGCTGTCATTTTCCCGTCGGTCGCCTGTCGATTTTAGGTCAAAACTTGGCGAAACCGGAAGCTTCTCTCCGGGGGACGTCCCGGCAGTGACCGACTGATTCCATCATTCCTGAGCGGTCTCCCACCGGCCACCGGTGATCGGCGAGGCACCGAAATGCGCTTGGTGCCCGGGCGATCGCCGCCTGGGCATCATATTGCTTCGATTGTCTCATTTTCGCTCGTAGTCTGCAGGCACAGACCCTAATTTGACACTTAATCAAAAAATCATTGTGCCTTGAGAGAAGTCTAGCCCAGCTACCTACTGGTTGTGTCAGGAGCAGCTACAGTACATGGCCTATGGTAGTCTTATAGTGCAGACTCACTTTTACGACTGACCAGGGTTTGTGCTTGCAGACTATTTCGCTCGCTCGATCACTGCAGCACAAACAAAGCTCGTTCGACGTCACTACCAAACTAGCCAATCAGCTGTCAATGACGTCATATTGAATGCGGCGGCAAATATTGCCGACCTGCCCTCTGCTCCCCCTTAGCCACCGTTGTCCAAGGTTTGGATCATCCGCCAACTACAGGTACTGCATCGCTACTGCCCGATGCAGGACGGGGTTTATTTGAAGGCGACCCAATCCGCCTTGTCGTGTTCTCGTAATTGGGTTATAAGAGTTTTTCTAGAGCTAACAGCGTCACCTATTAGCTCCTCTCCTCTAGTAAGAACAGCGGGATCAGACTCTCACCCCACTGGAACGCAGCCAGTATTTCTACGGCCTTACAGATAACGTGTTGAGCTATCGATTTCAGTGTACACGTTGCAGAGCACATTTTTCTATGGATGTGAGCTGCCATTTGATTTTAGACGGTTATTAAGAGGCCAGAATTCCGGGTTTGGGAAAATTGCAATGGTATTTCAGAGTCGCTAGTAATTTCCGCAAAATAAGTAAGTAAAGTTTATAAAAGATATTATGAAGTGTATCATAATGAATTGGAGAAAATTAATTATTATTTGGTGTCACATTCGAGTACGAATATGTGTTATTTAATTTATATGGTAATGTGTATGGTAGGTTGAATGATATTGCATACGGTTACATTTAAAGTACGTACCGTATTTATAGTGAGTATGAAATTCACGCAAGGATTAGTAATAATGATATTGTCAGGTTGTTCTTTTAAGGTTGTTTAAGTTGACAAATGTTGGTGTTGACATATGAAATAAGTGTCAAATAAATAAGAGTTGTGAAAGAAAAAGACTGAGATACAGTCAGGTTTTTGAGATTTATGATGAAAGTTCAATGAGTCTAAATAGGAACGACAAGATTGACATACTATAAGTAAGATGGGATCTGTTTAATAAGCATATATTTTAAAGGTAGTCTTGACTGGGAAGTATTTCTGTAAAGGTATGTTATTTTGGCATAGAGATTAATGGGGGTTTAGGGCTTTTGGATATAGAGTCGAGACTTCTACAGGATGACAATTTAAGGCTACATGAACAGGATGAATGCATAGTACATTTTATGTGTTAGACATGAATACTGAGGATGTTTATTTGTATTCTATATACTTCATTTTTAAGTTATTTCCTTCACCTATAGTGCAGTACATTCATGCGTTATAGACATGTATACTGAGGATGTTTATTTGTATTCTACTTCATTTTCAAGTTACCTACGACACCCATAGTGCAGTACATTTCATGCGTTATAGACATGTATACTGAGGATGTATTTTATTCTACCTCATGAATATCAAAGGCAAGTACGTTTGAATGTTTCTAGAAGCACTCATGGTTTGTCTGATTCTTTTCAATATTAACTCAGAGATTACGTGCACCGTACCTGCATTTGACGACAACGTAAATTCTTCGTGTTCACCCAATACATCAGTAAGCTACAATGAACGATGCAACTTCTCTTGTCCGACTGGTTATAACCTAATTGGTCCATCGTCTGTTAACTGCACGGGCTCAGGAAATTTCTCGGAACCGTTTCCTGAATGTGTGGGTAAGTGTAATATAGGAGCACTGTGGTACATTGGTTAAGGATTTTGACTCAGTTACCTCTGTTTTAACAAAATCCTCATGCAATGAGAGCTGCTATTCGCAAATGTGGTTAGATAATTCCTGAAAATGCACTGTGCTTTTATAACGGCTGCCGCCGGAGCTAGGCTAATGATTTTCAAAGCTCTTTGGAAGCATAGCACGTTATATAATATGATACGCACTATACAAGAACTGAATATTATAACTATTCTTGTATAGTGGAAGCCGTCCGGTCACCAGCCTTGACCGGATATTCATTGTCACAGTGAGCTCATGACATTTAAATAGATAGGCGTTCCTTTAATTCTTTGTCATAGTTACTCTTTTCAGCCCAATCCATATTTGTTCAAAAGACGAAATGTTGAACTTCAAAGAGCTTCAGTTTAAGAAATTATATATATAAAGAATGGGATTAATGTAACGAAAGACCTTATGTTTGCAGTGGTGACCCCAGGAATGTTACGCGAGTACTAAGCAAGGCGTTACAAGTGACGTTGGGTGACGTGGCTCCAAATTAACGATCGTATAGAGATGTGTCTTTTGGTGTTATTACCTAGTCACTAGTGTATATCGTGGGTAAATAGACATTAACGCTCAATTATCTCAGAAATGAATATAGAAACAATTAAAATTACTAAACTCACTTTCACAATAACGCTGGGCTATGATGAAAGTGGGGACAGTCCTGCCTTTTTTTTAAAGACATTTTTGGCAGAAGGGATTTTTTGTGCCAGTCTTTTGTGCCCGTCTTTTGCTGGTCATCGCCCGAAATATGTATGACTTAAACGATGTTGTATTTGGCCGTGTTTGCCACTTTTATTGATTTTCGAGTTATTTACTACATCTATAGCTCAGAGCATGCTCTCCAATTGGGGTTAGCAACAAGAAGTGAGGGTTTCGCCTTTTAAGGAAGTTTCGGAAATTAGGGTCGGGTTCATGAATATAAGTGGCAAGACCGTTTGAATGTTTCTAAAGGCACTCATGATTTGCCTGATTCTTTCAATATTAACTCAGAGATAACGTGCACCGTACCTGCATTAGACGACAACGTAAATTCTTCGTGTTCACCCGATACATCAGTAAGCTACAATGAACGATGCAACTTCTCTTGTCCGACTGGTTATAACCTAATTGGTCCATCGTCTGTTAACTGCACGGGCTCAGGAAATTTCTCGGAACCGTTTCCTGAGTGTGTGGGTAAGTGTAATATAGGAGCACTGTGGTATATTGGTTAAGGATCTTGACTCAGTTACCTCTCTTTTAACAAAATCCTCATGCAATGAGGGCTGCTTTTCGCAAATCTGGTTGGATTATTCCTTGAAATGCACTGTGCTTTCATAACGGCTGTCGCCGGAGCTAGGCTAATGATTTTCAAAGCTCTTTGAAAGCAAAGTGACGTTATGTAATTATGATACGCGCTATACAAGAACTGAATATTATAACTATTCTTGTATAGTGGAAGCCGTCCGGTCACCAGCCTTGACCGGATATTCATTGTCACAGCGAGCTCATGACATTTAAATAGATAGGCGTTCCTTTAATTCTTTGTCATAGTTACTCTTTTCAGCCCAATCCATATTTGTTCAAAAGACGAAATGTTGAACTTCAAAGAGCTTCAGTTTAAGAAATTATATATATAAAGAATGGGATTAATATAACGAAAGACCTTATGTTTGCAGTGGTGACCCCATGAATGTTACGCGAGTACTAAGCAAGGCGTTACAAGTGACGTTGGGTGACGTGGCTCCAAATTAACGATCGTATAGAGATGTGTCTTTTGGTGTTATTACCTAGTCACTAGTGTATATCGTGGGTAAACAGACATTAACGCTCAATTATCTCAGAAATGAATATAGAAACAATTAAAATTACTAAACTCACTTTCACAATAACGCTGGGCTATGATGAAAGTGGGGACAGTCCTGCCTTTTTTTTAAAGACATTTTTGGCAGAAGGGATTTTTTGTGCCAGTCTTTTGTGCCCGTCTTTTGCTGGTCATCACCCGAAATATGTATGACTTAAACGATGTTGTATTTGGCCGTGTTTGCCACTTTTATTGATTTTCGAGTTATTTACTACATCTATAGCTCAGAGCATGCTCTCCAATTGGGGTTAGCAACAAGAAGTGAGGGTTTCGCCTTTTAAGGAAGTTTCGGAAATTAGGGTCGGGTTCATGAATATAAGTGGCAAGACCGTTTGAATGTTTCTAAAGGCACTCATGATTTGCCTGATTCTTTCAATATTAACTCAGAGATAACGTGCACCGTACCTGCATTAGACGACAACGTAAATTCTTCGTGTTCACCCGATACATCAGTAAGCTACAATGAACGATGCAACTTCTCTTGTCCGACTGGTTATAACCTAATTGGTCCATCGTCTGTTAAATGCACGGGCTCAGGAAATTTCTCGGAACCGTTTCCTGAGTGTGTGGGTAAGTGTAATATAGGAGCACTGTGGTATATTGGTTAAGGATCTTGACTCAGTTACCTCTCTTTTAACAAAATCCTCATGCAATGAGGGCTGCTTTTCGCAAATCTGGTTGGATTATTCCTTGAAATGCACTGTGCTTTCATAACGGCTGTCGCCGGAGCTAGGCTAATGATTTTCAAAGCTCTTTGGAAGCAAAGTGACGTTATGTAATTATGATACGCGCTATACAAGAACTGAATATTATAACTATTCTTGTATAGTGGAAACCGTCCGGTCACCAGCCTTGACCGGATATTCATTGTCACAGCAAGCTCATGACATTTAAATAGATAGGCGTTCCTTTAATTCTTTGTCATAGTTACTCTTTTCAGCCCAATCCATATTTGTTCAAAAGACGAAATGTTGAACTTCAAAGAGCTTCAGTTTAAGAAATTATATATATAAAGAATGGGATTAGTATACCAAAAGACCTTATGTTTGCAGTGGTGACCCCAGGAATGTTACGCGAGTACTAAGCAAGGCGTTACAAGTGACGTTGGGTGACGTGGCTCCAAATTAACGATCGTATAGAGATGTGTCTTTTGGTGTTATCACCTAGTCACTAGTGTATATCGTGGGTAAACAGACATTAACGCTCAATTATCTCAGAAATGAATATAGAAACAATTAAAATTACTAAACTCACTTTCACAATAACGCTGGGCTATAATGAAAGTGGGGACAGTCCTGCCTTTTTTTTAAAGACATTTTTGGCAGAAGGGATTTTTTTGTGCCAGTCTTTTGTGCCCGTCTTTTGCTGGTCATCGCCCGAAATATGTATGACTTAAACGATGTTGTATTTGGCCGTGTTTGCCACTTTTATTGATTTTCGAGTTATTTACTACATCTATAGCTCAGAGCATGCTCTCCAATTGGGGTTAGCAACAAGAAGTGAGGGTTTCGCCTTTTAAGGAAGTTTCGGAAATTAGGGTCGGGTTCATGAATATAAGTGGCAAGACCGTTTGAATGTTTCTAAAGGCACTCATGATTTGCCTGATTCTTTCAATATTAACTCAGAGATAACGTGCACCGTACCTGCATTAGACGACAACGTAAATTCTTCGTGTTCACCCGATACATCAGTAAGCTACAATGAACGATGCAACTTCTCTTGTCCGACTGGTTATAACCTAATTGGTCCATCGTCTGTTAACTGCACGGGCTCAGGAAATTTCTCGGAACCGTTTCCTGAGTGTGTGGGTAAGTGTAATATAGGAGCACTGTGGTATATTGGTTAAGGATCTTGACTCAGTTACCTCTCTTTTAACAAAATCCTCATGCAATGAGGGCTGCTTTTCGCAAATCTGGTTGGATTATTCCTTGAAATGCACTGTGCTTTCATAACGGCTGTCGCCGGAGCTAGGCTAATGATTTTCAAAGCTCTTTGGAAGCAAAGTGACGTTATGTAATTATGATACGCGCTATACAAGAACTGAATATTATAACTATTCTTGTATAGTGGAAGCCGTCCGGTCACCAGCCTTGACCGGATATTCATTGTCACAGCGAGCTCATGACATTTAAATAGATAGGCGTTCCTTTAATTCTTTGTCATAGTTACTCTTTTCAGCCCAATCCATATTTGTTCAAAAGACGAAATGTTGAACTTCAAAGAGCTTCAGTTTAAGAAATTATATATATAAAGAATGGGATTAATATAACGAAAGACCTTATGTTTGCAGTGGTGACCCCATGAATGTTACGCGAGTACTAAGCAAGGCGTTACAAGTGACGTTGGGTGACGTGGCTCCAAATTAACGATCGTATAGAGATGTGTCTTTTGGTGTTATTACCTAGTCACTAGTGTATATCGTGGGTAAACAGACATTAACGCTCAATTATCTCAGAAATGAATATAGAAACAATTAAAATTACTAAACTCACTTTCACAATAACGCTGGGCTATGATGAAAGTGGGGACAGTCCTGCCTTTTTTTTAAAGACATTTTTGGCAGAAGGGATTTTTTGTGCCAGTCTTTTGTGCCCGTCTTTTGCTGGTCATCACCCGAAATATGTATGACTTAAACGATGTTGTATTTGGCCGTGTTTGCCACTTTTATTGATTTTCGAGTTATTTACTACATCTATAGCTCAGAGCATGCTCTCCAATTGGGGTTAGCAACAAGAAGTGAGGGTTTCGCCTTTTAAGGAAGTTTCGGAAATTAGGGTCGGGTTCATGAATATAAGTGGCAAGACCGTTTGAATGTTTCTAAAGGCACTCATGATTTGCCTGATTCTTTCAATATTAACTCAGAGATAACGTGCACCGTACCTGCATTAGACGACAACGTAAATTCTTCGTGTTCACCCGATACATCAGTAAGCTACAATGAACGATGCAACTTCTCTTGTCCGACTGGTTATAACCTAATTGGTCCATCGTCTGTTAACTGCACGGGCTCAGGAAATTTCTCGGAACCGTTTCCTGAGTGTGTGGGTAAGTGTAATATAGGAGCACTGTGGTATATTGGTTAAGGATCTTGACTCAGTTACCTCTCTTTTAACAAAATCCTCATGCAATGAGGGCTGCTTTTCGCAAATCTGGTTGGATTATTCCTTGAAATGCACTGTGCTTTCATAACGGCTGTCGCCGGAGCTAGGCTAATGATTTTCAAAGCTCTTTGGAAGCAAAGTGACGTTATGTAATTATGATACGCGCTATACAAGAACTGAATATTATAACTATTCTTGTATAGTGGAAACCGTCCGGTCACCAGCCTTGACCGGATATTCATTGTCACAGCGAGCTCATGACATTTAAATAGATAGGCGTTCCTTTAATTCTTTGTCATAGTTACTCTTTTCAGCCCAATCCATATTTGTTCAAAAGACGAAATGTTGAACTTCAAAGAGCTTCAGTTTAAGAAATTATATATATAAAGAATGGGATTAGTATAACGAAAGACCTTATGTTTGCAGTGGTGACCCCAGGAATGTTACGCGAGTACTAAGCAAGGCGTTACAAGTGACGTTGGATGACGTGGCTCCAAATTAACGATCGTATAGAGATGTGTCTTTTGGTGTTATTACCTAGTCACTAGTGTATATCGTGGGTAAACAGACATTAACGCTCAATTATCTCAGAAATGAATATAGAAACAATTAAAATTACTAAACTCACTTTCACAATAACGCTGGGCTATGATGAAAGTGGGGACAGTCCTGCCTTTTTTTAAAGACATTTTTGGCAGAAGGGATTTTTTGTGCCAGTCTTTTGTGCCCGTCTTTTGCTGGTCATCACCCGAAATATGTATGACTTAAACGATGTTGTATTTGGCCGTGTTTGCCACTTTTATTGATTTTCGAGTTATTTACTACATCTATAGCTCAGAGCATGCTCTCCAATTGGGGTTAGCAACAAGAAGTGAGGGTTTCGCCTTTTAAGGAAGTTTCGGAAATTAGGGTCGGGTTCATGAATATAAGTGGCAAGACCGTTTGAATGTTTCTAAAGGCACTCATGATTTGCCTGATTCTTTCAATATTAACTCAGAGATAACGTGCACCGTACCTGCATTAGACGACAACGTAAATTCTTCGTGTTCACCCGATACATCAGTAAGCTACAATGAACGATGCAACTTCTCTTGTCCGACTGGTTATAACCTAATTGGTCCATCGTCTGTTAACTGCACGGGCTCAGGAAATTTCTCGGAACCGTTTCCTGAGTGTGTGGGTAAGTGTAATATAGGAGCACTGTGGTATATTGGTTAAGGATCTTGACTCAGTTACCTCTCTTTTAACAAAATCCTCATGCAATGAGGGCTGCTTTTCGCAAATCTGGTTGGATTATTCCTTGAAATGCACTGTGCTTTCATAACGGCTGTCGCCGGAGCTAGGCTAATGATTTTCAAAGCTCTTTGGAAGCAAAGTGACGTTATGTAATTATGATACGCGCTATACAAGAACTGAATATTATAACTATTCTTGTATAGTGGAAGCCGTCCGGTCACCAGCCTTGACCGGATATTCATTGTCACAGCGAGCTCATGACATTTAAATAGATAGGCGTTCCTTTAATTCTTTGTCATAGTTACTCTTTTCAGCCCAATCCATATTTGTTCAAAAGACGAAATGTTGAACTTCAAAGAGCTTCAGTTTAAGAAATTATATATATAAAGAATGGGATTAATATAACGAAAGACCTTATGTTTGCAGTGGTGACCCCATGAATGTTACGCGAGTACTAAGCAAGGCGTTACAAGTGACGTTGGGTGACGTGGCTCCAAATTAACGATCGTATAGAGATGTGTCTTTTGGTGTTATTACCTAGTCACTAGTGTATATCGTGGGTAAACAGACATTAACGCTCAATTATCTCAGAAATGAATATAGAAACAATTAAAATTACTAAACTCACTTTCACAATAACGCTGGGCTATGATGAAAGTGGGGACAGTCCTGCCTTTTTTTTAAAGACATTTTTGGCAGAAGGGATTTTTTGTGCCAGTCTTTTGTGCCCGTCTTTTGCTGGTCATCACCCGAAATATGTATGACTTAAACGATGTTGTATTTGGCCGTGTTTGCCACTTTTATTGATTTTCGAGTTATTTACTACATCTATAGCTCAGAGCATGCTCTCCAATTGGGGTTAGCAACAAGAAGTGAGGGTTTCGCCTTTTAAGGAAGTTTCGGAAATTAGGGTCGGGTTCATGAATATAAGTGGCAAGACCGTTTGAATGTTTCTAAAGGCACTCATGATTTGCCTGATTCTTTCAATATTAACTCAGAGATAACGTGCACCGTACCTGCATTAGACGACAACGTAAATTCTTCGTGTTCACCCGATACATCAGTAAGCTACAATGAACGATGCAACTTCTCTTGTCCGACTGGTTATAACCTAATTGGTCCATCGTCTGTTAACTGCACGGGCTCAGGAAATTTCTCGGAACCGTTTCCTGAGTGTGTGGGTAAGTGTAATATAGGAGCACTGTGGTATATTGGTTAAGGATCTTGACTCAGTTACCTCTCTTTTAACAAAATCCTCATGCAATGAGGGCTGCTTTTCGCAAATCTGGTTGGATTATTCCTTGAAATGCACTGTGCTTTCATAACGGCTGTCGCCGGAGCTAGGCTAATGATTTTCAAAGCTCTTTGGAAGCAAAGTGACGTTATGTAATTATGATACGCGCTATACAAGAACTGAATATTATAACTATTCTTGTATAGTGGAAACCGTCCGGTCACCAGCCTTGACCGGATATTCATTGTCACAGCGAGCTCATGACATTTAAATAGATAGGCGTTCCTTTAATTCTTTGTCATAGTTACTCTTTTCAGCCCAATCCATATTTGTTCAAAAGACGAAATGTTGAACTTCAAAGAGCTTCAGTTTAAGAAATTATATATATAAAGAATGGGATTAGTATAACGAAAGACCTTATGTTTGCAGTGGTGACCCCAGGAATGTTACGCGAGTACTAAGCAAGGCGTTACAAGTGACGTTGGATGACGTGGCTCCAAATTAACGATCGTATAGAGATGTGTCTTTTGGTGTTATTACCTAGTCACTAGTGTATATCGTGGGTAAACAGACATTAACGCTCAATTATCTCAGAAATGAATATAGAAACAATTAAAATTACTAAACTCACTTTCACAATAACGCTGGGCTATGATGAAAGTGGGGACAGTCCTGCCTTTTTTTAAAGACATTTTTGGCAGAAGGGATTTTTTGTGCCAGTCTTTTGTGCCCGTCTTTTGCTGGTCATCGCCCGAAATATGTATGACTTAAACGATGTTGTATTTGGCCGTGTTTGCCACTTTTATTGATTTTCGAGTTATTTACTACATCTATAGCTCAGAGCATGCTCTCCAATTGGGGTTAGCAACAAGAAGTGAGGGTTTCGCCTTTTAAGGAAGTTTCGGAAATTAGGGTCGGGTTCATGAATATAAGTGGCAAGACCGTTTGAATGTTTCTAAAGGCACTCATGATTTGCCTGATTCTTTCAATATTAACTCAGAGATAACGTGCACCGTACCTGCATTAGACGACAACGTAAATTCTTCGTGTTCACCCGATACATCAGTAAGCTACAATGAACGATGCAACTTCTCTTGTCCGACTGGTTATAACCTAATTGGTCCATCGTCTGTTAACTGCACGGGCTCAGGAAATTTCTCGGAACCGTTTCCTGAGTGTGTGGGTAAGTGTAATATAGGAGCACTGTGGTATATTGGTTAAGGATCTTGACTCAGTTACCTCTCTTTTAACAAAATCCTCATGCAATGAGGGCTGCTTTTCGCAAATCTGGTTGGATTATTCCTTGAAATGCACTGTGCTTTCATAACGGCTGTCGCCGGAGCTAGGCTAATGATTTTCAAAGCTCTTTGGAAGCAAAGTGACGTTATGTAATTATGATACGCGCTATACAAGAACTGAATATTATAACTATTCTTGTATAGTGGAAGCCGTCCGGTCACCAGCCTTGACCGGATATTCATTGTCACAGCGAGCTCATGACATTTAAATAGATAGGCGTTCCTTTAATTCTTTGTCATAGTTACTCTTTTCAGCCCAATCCATATTTGTTCAAAAGACGAAATGTTGAACTTCAAAGAGCTTCAGTTTAAGAAATTATATATATAAAGAATGGGATTAATATAACGAAAGACCTTATGTTTGCAGTGGTGACCCCATGAATGTTACGCGAGTACTAAGCAAGGCGTTACAAGTGACGTTGGGTGACGTGGCTCCAAATTAACGATCGTATAGAGATGTGTCTTTTGGTGTTATTACCTAGTCACTAGTGTATATCGTGGGTAAACAGACATTAACGCTCAATTATCTCAGAAATGAATATAGAAACAATTAAAATTACTAAACTCACTTTCACAATAACGCTGGGCTATGATGAAAGTGGGGACAGTCCTGCCTTTTTTTTAAAGACATTTTTGGCAGAAGGGATTTTTTGTGCCAGTCTTTTGTGCCCGTCTTTTGCTGGTCATCACCCGAAATATGTATGACTTAAACGATGTTGTATTTGGCCGTGTTTGCCACTTTTATTGATTTTCGAGTTATTTACTACATCTATAGCTCTGAGCATGCTCTCCAATTGGGGTTAGCAACAAGAAGTGAGGGTTTCGCCTTTTAAGGAAGTTTCGGAAATTAGGGTCGGGTTCATGAATATAAGTGGCAAGACCGTTTGAATGTTTCTAAAGGCACTCATGATTTGCCTGATTCTTTCAATATTAACTCAGAGATAACGTGCACCGTACCTGCATTAGACGACAACGTAAATTCTTCGTGTTCACCCGATACATCAGTAAGCTACAATGAACGATGCAACTTCTCTTGTCCGACTGGTTATAACCTAATTGGTCCATCGTCTGTTAACTGCACGGGCTCAGGAAATTTCTCGGAACCGTTTCCTGAGTGTGTGGGTAAGTGTAATATAGGAGCACTGTGGTATATTGGTTAAGGATCTTGACTCAGTTACCTCTCTTTTAACAAAATCCTCATGCAATGAGGGCTGCTTTTCGCAAATCTGGTTGGATTATTCCTTGAAATGCACTGTGCTTTCATAACGGCTGTCGCCGGAGCTAGGCTAATGATTTTCAAAGCTCTTTGAAAGCAAAGTGACGTTATATAATTATGATACGCGCTATACAAGAACTGAATATTATAACTATTCTTGTATAGTGGCAGCCGTCCGGTCACCAGCCTTGACCGGATATTCATTGTCACAGCGAGCTCATGACATTTAAATAGATAGGCGTTCCTTTAATTCTTTGTCATAGTTACTCTTTTCAGCCCAATCCATATTTGTTCAAAAGACGAAATGTTGAACTTCAAAGAGCTTCAGTTTAAGAAATTATATATATAAAGAATGGGATTAGTATAACGAAAGACCTTATGTTTGCAGTGGTGACCCCAGGAATGTTACGCGAGTACTAAGCAAGGCGTTACAAGTGACGTTGGATGACGTGGCTCCAAATTAACGATCGTATAGAGATGTGTCTTTTGGTGTTATTACCTAGTCACTAGTGTATATCGTGGGTAAACAGACATTAACGCTCAATTATCTCAGAAATGAATATAGAAACAATTAAAATTACTAAACTCACTTTCACAATAACGCTGGGCTATGATGAAAGTGGGGACAGTCTGCCTTTTTTTTAAAGACATTTTTGGCAGAAGGGATTTTTTGTGCCAGTCTTTTGTGCCCGTCTTTTGCTGGTCATCACCCGAAATATGTATGACTTAAACGATGTTGTATTTGGCCGTGTTTGCCACTTTTATTGATTTTCGAGTTATTTACTACATCTATAGCTCAGAGCATGCTCTCCAATTGGGGTTTGCAACAAGAAGTGAGGGTTTCGCCTTTTAAGGAAGTTTCGGAAATTAGGGTCGGGTTCATGAATATAAGTGGCAAGACCGTTTGAATGTTTCTAAAGGCACTCATGATTTGCCTGATTCTTTCAATATTAACTCAGAGATAACGTGCACCGTACCTGCATTAGACGACAACGTAAATTCTTCGTGTTCACCCGATACATCAGTAAGCTACAATGAACGATGCAACTTCTCTTGTCCGACTGGTTATAACCTTATTGGTCCATCGTCTGTTAACTGCACGGGCTCAGGAAATTTCTCGGAACCGTTTCCTGAGTGTGTGGGTAAGTGTAATATAGGAGCACTGTGGTATATTGGTTAAGGATCTTGACTCAGTTACCTCTCTTTTAACAAAATCCTCATGCAATGAGGGCTGCTTTTCGCAAATCTGGTTGGATTATTCCTTGAAATGCACTGTGCTTTCATAACGGCTGTCGCCGGAGCTAGGCTAATGATTTTCAAAGCTCTTTGGAAGCAAAGTGACGTTATGTAATTATGATACGCGCTATACAAGAACTGAATATTATAACTATTCTTGTATAGTGGAAGCCGTCCGGTCACCAGCCTTGACCGGATATTCATTGTCACAGCGAGCTCATGACATTTAAATAGATAGGCGTTCCTTTAATTCTTTGTCATAGTTACTCTTTTCAGCCCAATCCATATTTGTTCAAAAGACGAAATGTTGAACTTCAAAGAGCTTCAGTTTAAGAAATTATATATATAAAGAATGGGATTAATATAACGAAAGACCTTATGTTTGCAGTGGTGACCCCATGAATGTTACGCGAGTACTAAGCAAGGCGTTACAAGTGACGTTGGGTGACGTGGCTCCAAATTAACGATCGTATAGAGATGTGTCTTTTGGTGTTATTACCTAGTCACTAGTGTATATCGTGGGTAAACAGACATTAACGCTCAATTATCTCAGAAATGAATATAGAAACAATTAAAATTACTAAACTCACTTTCACAATAACGCTGGGCTATGATGAAAGTGGGGACAGTCCTGCCTTTTTTTTAAAGACATTTTTGGCAGAAGGGATTTTTTGTGCCAGTCTTTTGTGCCCGTCTTTTGCTGGTCATCACCCGAAATATGTATGACTTAAACGATGTTGTATTTGGCCGTGTTTGCCACTTTTATTGATTTTCGAGTTATTTACTACATCTATAGCTCTGAGCATGCTCTCCAATTGGGGTTAGCAACAAGAAGTGAGGGTTTCGCCTTTTAAGGAAGTTTCGGAAATTAGGGTCGGGTTCATGAATATAAGTGGCAAGACCGTTTGAATGTTTCTAAAGGCACTCATGATTTGCCTGATTCTTTCAATATTAACTCAGAGATAACGTGCACCGTACCTGCATTAGACGACAACGTAAATTCTTCGTGTTCACCCGATACATCAGTAAGCTACAATGAACGATGCAACTTCTCTTGTCCGACTGGTTATAACCTAATTGGTCCATCGTCTGTTAACTGCACGGGCTCAGGAAATTTCTCGGAACCGTTTCCTGAGTGTGTGGGTAAGTGTAATATAGGAGCACTGTGGTATATTGGTTAAGGATCTTGACTCAGTTACCTCTCTTTTAACAAAATCCTCATGCAATGAGGGCTGCTTTTCGCAAATCTGGTTGGATTATTCCTTGAAATGCACTGTGCTTTCATAACGGCTGTCGCCGGAGCTAGGCTAATGATTTTCAAAGCTCTTTGAAAGCAAAGTGACGTTATATAATTATGATACGCGCTATACAAGAACTGAATATTATAACTATTCTTGTATAGTGGCAGCCGTCCGGTCACCAGCCTTGACCGGATATTCATTGTCACAGCGAGCTCATGACATTTAAATAGATAGGCGTTCCTTTAATTCTTTGTCATAGTTACTCTTTTCAGCCCAATCCATATTTGTTCAAAAGACGAAATGTTGAACTTCAAAGAGCTTCAGTTTAAGAAATTATATATATAAAGAATGGGATTAGTATAACGAAAGACCTTATGTTTGCAGTGGTGACCCCAGGAATGTTACGCGAGTACTAAGCAAGGCGTTACAAGTGACGTTGGATGACGTGGCTCCAAATTAACGATCGTATAGAGATGTGTCTTTTGGTGTTATTACCTAGTCACTAGTGTATATCGTGGGTAAACAGACATTAACGCTCAATTATCTCAGAAATGAATATAGAAACAATTAAAATTACTAAACTCACTTTCACAATAACGCTGGGCTATGATGAAAGTGGGGACAGTCTGCCTTTTTTTTAAAGACATTTTTGGCAGAAGGGATTTTTTGTGCCAGTCTTTTGTGCCCGTCTTTTGCTGGTCATCACCCGAAATATGTATGACTTAAACGATGTTGTATTTGGCCGTGTTTGCCACTTTTATTGATTTTCGAGTTATTTACTACATCTATAGCTCAGAGCATGCTCTCCAATTGGGGTTTGCAACAAGAAGTGAGGGTTTCGCCTTTTAAGGAAGTTTCGGAAATTAGGGTCGGGTTCATGAATATAAGTGGCAAGACCGTTTGAATGTTTCTAAAGGCACTCATGATTTGCCTGATTCTTTCAATATTAACTCAGAGATAACGTGCACCGTACCTGCATTAGACGACAACGTAAATTCTTCGTGTTCACCCGATACATCAGTAAGCTACAATGAACGATGCAACTTCTCTTGTCCGACTGGTTATAACCTTATTGGTCCATCGTCTGTTAACTGCACGGGCTCAGGAAATTTCTCGGAACCGTTTCCTGAGTGTGTGGGTAAGTGTAATATAGGAGCACTGTGGTATATTGGTTAAGGATCTTGACTCAGTTACCTCTCTTTTAACAAAATCCTCATGCAATGAGGGCTGCTTTTCGCAAATCTGGTTGGATTATTCCTTGAAATGCACTGTGCTTTCATAACGGCTGTCGCCGGAGCTAGGCTAATGATTTTCAAAGCTCTTTGGAAGCAAAGTGACGTTATATAATTATGATACGCGCTATACAAGAACTGAATATTATAACTATTCTTGTATAGTGGAAGCCGTCCGGTCACCAGCCTTGACCGGATATTCATTGTCACAGCGAGCTCATGACATTTAAATAGATAGGCGTTCCTTTAATTCTTTGTCATAGTTACTCTTTTCAGCCCAATCCATATTTGTTCAAAAGACGAAATGTTGAACTTCAAAGAGCTTCAGTTTAAGAAATTATATATATAAATGAATGGGATTAGTATAACGAAAGACCTTATGTTTGCAGTGGTGACCCCAGGAATCGTACGCGAGTACTAAGCAAGGCGTTACAAGTGACGTTGGGTGACGTGGCTCCAAATTAACGATCGTATAGAGATGTGTCTTTTGGTGTTATTACCTAGTCACTAGTGTATATCGTGGGTAAACAGACATTAACGCTCAATTATCTCAGAAATGAATATAGAAACAATTAAAATTACTAAACTCACTTTCACAATAACGCTGGGCTATGATGAAAGTGGAGACAGTCCTGCCTTTTTTTTAAAGACATTTTTGGCAGAAGGGATTTTTTGTGCCAGTCTTTTGTGCCCGTCTTTTGCTGGTCATCACCCGAAATATGTATGACTTAAACGATGTTGTATTTGGCCGTGTTTGCCACTTTTATTGATTTTCGAGTTATTTACTACATCTATAGCTCAGAGCATGCTCTCCAATTGGGGTTAGCAACAAGAAGTGAGGGTTTCGCCTTTTAAGGAAGTTTCGGAAATTAGGGTCGGGTTCATGAATATAAGTGGCAAGACCGTTTGAATGTTTCTAAAGGCACTCATGATTTGCCTGATTCTTTCAATATTAACTCAGAGATAACGTGCACCGTACCTGCATTAGACGACAACGTAAATTCTTCGTGTTCACCCGATACATCAGTAAGCTACAATGAACGATGCAACTTCTCTTGTCCGACTGGTTATAACCTTATTGGTCCATCGTCTGTTAACTGCACGGGCTCAGGAAATTTCTCGGAACCGTTTCCTGAGTGTGTGGGTAAGTGTAATATAGGAGCACTGTGGTATATTGGTTAAGGATCTTGACTCAGTTACCTCTCTTTTAACAAAATCCTCATGCAATGAGGGCTGCTTTTCGCAAATCTGGTTGGATTATTCCTTGAAATGCACTGTGCTTTCATAACGGCTGTCGCCGGAGCTAGGCTAATGATTTTCAAAGCTCTTTGGAAGCAAAGTGACGTTATATAATTATGATACGCGCTATACAAGAACTGAATATTATAACTATTCTTGTATAGTGGAAGCCGTCCGGTCACCAGCCTTGACCGGATATTCATTGTCACAGCGAGCTCATGACATTTAAATAGATAGGCGTTCCTTTAATTCTTTGTCATAGTTACTCTTTTCAGCCCAATCCATATTTGTTCAAAAGACGAAATGTTGAACTTCAAAGAGCTTCAGTTTAAGAAATTATATATATATAATGAATGGGATTAGTATAACGAAAGACCTTATGTTTGCAGTGGTGACCCCAGGAATGTTACGCGAGTACTAAGCAAGGCGTTACAAGTGACGTTGGGTGACGTGGCTCCAAATTAACGATCGTATAGAGATGTGTCTTTTGGTGTTATTACCTAGTCACTAGTGTATATCGTGGGTAAACAGACATTAACGCTCAATTATCTCAGAAATGAATATAGAAACAATTAAAATTACTAAACTCACTTTCACAATAACGCTGGGCTATGATGAAAGTGGAGACAGTCCTGCCTTTTTTTTAAAGACATTTTTGGCAGAAGGGATTTTTTGTGCCAGTCTTTTGTGCCCGTCTTTTGCTGGTCATCACCCGAAATATGTATGACTTAAACGATGTTGTATTTGGCCGTGTTTGCCACTTTTATTGATTTTCGAGTTATTTACTACATCTATAGCTCAGAGCATGCTCTCCAATTGGGGTTAGCAACAAGAAGTGAGGGTTTCGCCTTTTAAGGAAGTTTCGGAAATTAGGGTCGGGTTCATGAATATAAGTGGCAAGACCGTTTGAATGTTTCTAAAGGCACTCATGATTTGCCTGATTCTTTCAATATTAACTCAGAGATAACGTGCACCGTACCTGCATTAGACGACAACGTAAATTCTTCGTGTTCACCCGATACATCAGTAAGCTACAATGAACGATGCAACTTCTCTTGTCCGACTGGTTATAACCTTATTGGTCCATCGTCTGTTAACTGCACGGGCTCAGGAAATTTCTCGGAACCGTTTCCTGAGTGTGTGGGTAAGTGTAATATAGGAGCACTGTGGTATATTGGTTAAGGATCTTGACTCAGTTACCTCTCTTTTAACAAAATCCTCATGCAATGAGGGCTGCTTTTCGCAAATCTGGTTGGATTATTCCTTGAAATACACTGTGCTTTCATAACGGCTGTCGCCGGAGCTAGGCTAATGATTTTCAAAGCTCTTTGGAAGCAAAGTGACGTTATATAATTATGATACGCGCTATACAAGAACTGAATATTATAACTATTCTTGTATAGTGGAAGCCGTCCGGTCACCAGCCTTGACCGGATATTCATTGTCACAGCGAGCTCATGACATTTAAATAGATAGGCGTTCCTTTAATTCTTTGTCATAGTTACTCTTTTCAGCCCAATCCATATTTGTTCAAAAGACGAAATGTTGAACTTCAAAGAGCTTCAGTTTAAGAAATTATATATATAAAGAATGGGATTAGTATAACGAAAGACCTTATGTTTGCAGTGGTGACCCCAGGAATGTTACGCGAGTACTAAGCAAGGCGTTACAAGTGACGTTGGGTGACGTGGCTCCAAATTAACGATCGTATAGAGATGTGTCTTTTGATGTTATTACCTAGTCACTAGTGTTTATCGTGGGTAAACAGACATTAACGCTCAATTATCTCAGAAATGAATATAGAAACAATTAAAATTACTAAACTCACTTTCACAATAACGCTGGGCTATGATGAAAGTGGAGACAGTCCTGCCTTTTTTTTAAAGACATTTTTGGCAGAAGGGATTTTTTGTGCCAGTCTTTTGTGCCCGTCTTTTGCTGGTCATCACCCGAAATATGTATGACTTAAACGATGTTGTATTTGGCCGTGTTTGCCACTTTTATTGATTTTCGAGTTATTTACTACATCTATAGCTCAGAGCATGCTCTCCAATTGGGGTTAGCAACAAGAAGTGAGGGTTTCGCCTTTTAAGGAAGTTTCGGAAATTAGGGTCGGGTTCATGAATATAAGTGGCAAGACCATTTGAATGTTTCTAAAGGCACTCATGATTTGCCTGATTCTTTCAATATTAACTCAGAGATAACGTGCACCGTACCTGCATTAGACGACAACGTAAATTCTTCGTGTTCACCCGATACATCAGTAAGCTACAATGAACGATGCAACTTCTCTTGTCCGACTGGTTATAACCTTATTGGTCCATCGTCTGTTAACTGCACGGGCTCAGGAAATTTCTCGGAACCGTTTCCTGACTGATGTTTAGAGATTCAAGAGAGATGGACGTGTTTTTCGCGAGCTCCTGAAAATTGCACTTTTCTGCAGCCAAATAATGGACTCAAAGAAACTTTTTATACCAAACTGACGACGAAAGGATAGTGGTGAGATTTGTGTAATTCATTTTTCACAAATTTTTAGACTTTTCAAGATTTTGGCCATTTTATACTGTTATTTTGGTCAATTTTTAAATATTTATTTTCTTGATTTTTGAACATTAAGCGCAATATAAACACTTTACGCAGAATTCATCTTGGATACAGCGCAAGTGAGCGCAATGATACAACGCAAGTGTGCGCTAGTGAGTTATCTCAGTATTTATTACGCACTGATGTTAACGCAGTACTTTTCAGCAAACAGGTGAACAATTATATTAAATGACGTCACAATGACCATCGTTAACGTAAGAAGTCTCCGTGTGAAGGAACTCAAAGCTGAACTGCAGAAACGTGGTCTAAATAAAAATGGTGTAAAAGAAACTTTGGTAAATAGGCTGCAAAGTGCAATCAATGACAATATCCATCAAGCGAGTAATGACAAAAGAAATCAGGAGACGAATACTGAGCAAGCTGATCTCTATGACCTATTCAATCTAGTTTTGTCGTCAGTTCATGAACTAGCCGACAGGCTTATCCATCTTGAAGCTAAGTTCGATAGTGCTGATCTGGTAAAGGAGAAAATAGATCTCAATGAGATAGTGGGAACTATCTCAAGCGTTAATCCCGCGAGGTATGATAATCGACCAGGAAATGTTTATACCGTCCCGACGAAGAATAGGTTTGATGTCCTTGCGGATAATCATGTCACTGACGCTGAGCCTGCTACTTCGATGTCGACTAGTGACCAGATGAAAGAGTACCGAGATGGGCATCGCCAGCGCTGCTTGTCTGAGCTACATGAATCTGTCCTCGAAGGCACAGACGTCGAGCCTCCTACTCCGATGTCGACGAGCGACCAGATGAAAGAGTACCGAGATGGGCATCGCCAGCGCCGCTTGTTGGAGGTACCTGCTGCTGTTTTCAAAGGCACTGACGCAAAGCCTTCGACTTCGATGTCGACGAGCGACCAAACCAATGAGTACCGACAAGGGCATCGCCAACGCCGCTTGTCTAAGCTACCTGATGTTGTCATCGAAGGCGACTCGATGATTAAGCACATCGAGGGCCGACTCCTGAGCCGAAAACATCGAGTAGTCTGCCATCCGAACCCAGGGGCAACGGTGGCTGATATCTCCTCTAAGAAGGCTACTGAGGGTGTAAAGGCGAAAGGAGACGTCATTCTACATGTTGGGTCAAATGACTTGTCGAAAGGTAATGGTAGTACATCCACCGCCGATGACATCATAGCATTAGCAGACGTGATTGCAGCAAAAGGCTGCGATGTATGCTTGTCTGGTGTTATACACCGCAGATGGGAATCGGTTCACCAGAGGCGCAGTGTCGATGGGGTTAATGGGCGATTGAGAAGAGCTGCCCGTGAAAGGAGATGGGGTTTCGTTGACAACGAAAACATAGGTGACAGGCACCTCGGCAGAGATGGGGTCCACATCAATAAGGCAGGACAAGCTGTTCTTGCCTCTAATCTACGCCACTTTATTGAGCGACCTCAAGGGCCACCTACACCTACTCAGCAAACGTCCTACGCTGAAGTTGTTGGATCTTCAACGCAGGATTTCGAGATGATTGCTCCGAGAGGAAGGCTAAAGTCTGCACCTGCTCTTCCAATGTTTCCACTGACAAAAGCTCAACAGGGGTGGGACGAGCATCTACGTCTTGTCATGGCAACATGCTGTTAAACTCTGTCTCTGATACTGGCATACTACATCATAATCTTCAGGATCAATCTCATGAACTGAATAAGAGTAACATTAAACAGTTGGAAGGTGGTTCAGTTCCTCCGTTTAGAAACAGGGGCTTAAAATTTGCCCATTTGAATATTCATAGCTTAGTTGCTAAGATTGACGAACTTAGATTACTTCTGAGAAATGCATCATTTGATGTTATTGGTTTAAATGAAACATTTTGCGACTCCATGATTGATGATTCTGAATTGTATATAGATGATTATATTTTATTACGTAGAGACCGTACGAGACATGGTGGTGGTGTGGCTGTATATATATCCAAGAGGTTCAATTATAAAAGAAGGGATGATTTGATTTCATCTACTTTAGAATGCCTTTGGTTTGAATTGCATTATCCAAATAAGTCTCCCATCCTGGTTGGAGAGTTTTACAGACCTCCAAATTCTCACGTTGATTTCTTTGAAGAATTAGACGAAAATTTGGACTCTGCTCTCTCGGAAGATATGAGCTGTATTATTTTAGGTGATTTCAATTGTGATTGTATGCCACACCAACTTGATCTGAATGCTGAAAAGTTAATGTTTTATACAAATATGTACGGGCTAAGTCAGCTAATTGATACTGCCACAAGAGTTACAAATACCTCTTCTACTTTAATTGATTTGATATTTGTATCAGACAAGGAACTTTACAATGAATGGGGAATATTTGAAACTAGCATAAGTGATCATTATTTGGTGTATACGGTTCGCGATTTTAGTGCAAAGATCCATAACAAATCTGAATACGCAGAATTTCGCTCGTTTAAAAATCTTGACGAGGAGAAATTTTACAATGAATTGAGAAGTACTCCTTGGCAGGTCATAAAAGATATAGATAATGTTGATGTTGCGTGGGATATGTGGTTGACTCTATTTAATAATATAATCAACAAGCACATACCAGTATGTAAAAAGCGGATAAGAAAAAATGCATGTCCATGGATATCTGACGAGATTGTTAAGCTTATGACGGAACGTGATAAAGTTCTCAAAGCTGCTAAAGCTAACAAAAGTGATGATCTTTGGGACACCTACAAATATCTAAAGAATACAGTTATTCATCTCATGAGGAAAAGAAAAAGAGAATATAATGCAGACCAGATCTCGCAAAATCATAACAATAGTAAGCAAATGTGGAGATGTTTGAGAAACCTGGTGCCTAAGTCATTACCTATATCTCCCAATAGCATAAATGTTGATGGTGCTAATGTGTCAGACAATGCAAATATTGCTGAAGCTTTTAATGACTTTTTCATTTCTAATGCTACTAAGATTACAAAGGACCTGCGAAGAAATAAGTCTCAACTGAGAGTAGACGAGGACAATAATATTGGTCCAACTCATTCGCAATTTAATTTGAATTTGATTACTGAGGATTTTGTTTTGAAACAGATTGATAATCTGAGTATAGATAAAGCAACTGGTGAAGATCACATCAGCTGTAAACTTTTAAAGATGACGAAGAATGTTATCGCAGAGTCTCTTTGTGATATCATTAACAAATCCCTGTCTCCAGGAGTTGTTCCACGTGAATGGAAAAAGGCTCGGGTAGTACCAATATTCAAATCTGGAGATATTTCTTCTTTGAATAATTACCGCCCCATTTCAATATTACCTATTGTGAGTAAAATTATAGAAAGGGCCGTCCACCAACAACTCAGTGAATTCTTGGACGTGAATCAATTATTACACCCTAATCAGTCTGGATTTAGACCTAAACATTCAACAGCTACTGCCCTTGCAAAACTTGTAAATCAATGGTCGTTGAATATTGATAACAACAAAATTTCTGGAGTTGCCTTCATAGATCTTCGTAAGGCTTTTGATACTGTTGACCATGAGCTACTTCTACATAAACTAGCTTGTATAGGTTGTAGTAATAGGACTATTTATTGGTTCAAATCATATTTAGGGGATCGACAACAAGTGACCCAATTCAAAGGAGCCAAGTCGCATCCATCAACCATCAAATTAGGTGTGCCACAAGGTTCAATTCTTGGTCCCCTTTTATTTTCAATATATGTTAATAGTCTACCTGAATGTACTCCTGAAGGTATCATAGATATGTATGCTGACGATACGACACTTACCGTCAGTGCAAATGATGCAACTGTTGTGGAAGAAAAATTAACTGTTGCGTTAAACAGAGTCATGGCATGGATTAAGGAAAATCGTCTTGTTCTTAACACTGAAAAAACTTGTGTCATGTTAATAGGCTCTCCTGCTAATCTCAAGAAAATTGAATCTTTTACCATTTCATTAAACGGCAATTTGATCAAAAGAGTTCAATTCACCAAATGCTTAGGACTTTTGATAGATGAAGAATTGAAATGGTCTAAACAAATCGAAAACGTAAGTAAACTTACCCAGAAAAACATTAGCATGATAAAGAGAGCAAAAAGTTTTTTGCCTCAAAAATCCTTAAAGTTACTTTATAACAGTCTAGTGTTGCCACGATTAGATTACTGCTCTGTTGTATGGTCGAACCGATTTCATTCTCATACAACTAAGCTGCAAAAAATTCAAAAGAGGGCCGCAAGAATAATATTGAACAAGACATATGACACACCGTCGGCTGATTTGTTCACAAGTCTTAAATGGATGACACTAGACAAGCGGTTTGAGTTAAGTCGCGTTATGATGATATATAAATGCGTTCATAACTTAGCACCTTCTTACCTTCAGGTAGGCTTAATCAATCCTAATGATGTACATGAGCATCATACAAGGCAAATAGACAGTGGATGTTTACGTGTGCCTAGATTTCACACTGATTGTTATAAGTGTAGCCCAATTGTTTCTTCCATATTTGAATGGAATAAGCTAGATAATTCATTGAGAACGGCTTCCTCTGTCAATTCATTTAAGAGATTGTTTAAACAAAGTTGTAATTTGTGAATGGCTCAGCCGTACATACACTACGTGCATGTTCTGTAATATTTACATGACTTATTCACATAATTGCGACTTAATTAATATTTTCCTATTGACATTACTGTTTACTAGGTTAATGATTATATTTATTTTGCAAACGAGTATTATTTTTGTAACTGTTCTGTATAAATGTTATAAACGATGTAAATATGTTCATTCAGGGCCCCATGGAAGACCACTACTTGTTGGTGAATGGGCTACCCTGTCAAAATATTAGAAATAAATAAATAAATAAATAAATAATATAGGAGCACTGTGGTATATTGGTTAAGGATCTTGACTCAGTTACCTCTCTTTTAACAAAATCCTCATGCAATGAGGGCTGCTTTTCGCAAATCTGGTTGGATTATTCCTTGAAATGCACTGTGCTTTCATAACGGCTGTCGCCGGAGCTAGGCTAATGATTTTCAAAGCTCTTTGGAAGCAAAGTGACGTTATATAATTATGATACGCGCTATACAAGAACTGAATATTATAACTATTCTTGTATAGTGGAAACCGTCCGGTCACCAGCCTTGACCGGATATTCATTGTCACAGCGAGCTCATGACATTTAAATAGATAGGCGTTCCTTTAATTCTTTGTCATAGTTACTCTTTTCAGCCCAATCCATATTTGTTCAAAAGACGAAATGTTAAACTTCAAAGAGCTTCAGTTTAAGAAATTATATATATAAAGAATGGGATTAGTATAACGAAAGACCTTATGTTTGCAGTGGTGACCCCAGGAATGTTACGCGAGTACTAAGCAAGGCGTTACAAGTGACGTTGGGTGACGTGGCTCCAAATTAACGATCGTATAGAGATGTGTCTTTTGGTGTTATTACCTAGTCACTAGTGTATATCGTGGGTAAACAGACATTAACGCTCAATTATCTCAGAAATGAATATATAAACAATTAAAATTACTAAACTCACTTTCACAATAACGCTGGGCTATGATGAAAGTGGGAACAGTCCTGCCTTTTTTTTAAAGACATTTTTGGCAGAAGGGATTTTTTGTGCCAGTCTTTTGTGCCCGTCTTTTGCTGGTCATCACCCGAAATATGTATGACTTAAACGATGTTGTATTTGGCCGTGTTTGCCACTTTTATTGATTTTCGAGTTATTTACTACATCTATAGCTCAGAGCATGCTCTCCAATTGGGGTTAGCAACAAGAAGTGAGGGTTTCGCCTTTTAAGGAAGTTTCGGAAATTAGGGTCGGGTTCATGAATATAAGTGGCAAGACCGTTTGAATGTTTCTAAAGGCACTCATGATTTGCCTGATTCTTTCAATATTAACTCAGAGATAACGTGCACCGTACCTGCATTAGACGACAACGTAAATTCTTCGTGTTCACCCGATACATCAGTAAGCTACAATGAACGATGCAACTTCTCTTGTCCGACTGGTTATAACCTAATTGGTCCATCGTCTGTTAACTGCACGGGCTCAGGAAATTTCTCGGAACCGTTTCCTGAGTGTGTGGGTAAGTGTAATATAGGAGCACTGTGGTATATTGGTTAAGGATCTTGACTCAGTTACCTCTCTTTTAACAAAATCCTCATGCAATGAGGGCTGCTTTTCGCAAATCTGGTTGGATTATTCCTTGAAATGCACTGTGCTTTCATAACGGCTGTCGCCGGAGCTAGGCTAATGATTTTCAAAGCTCTTTGGAAGCAAAGTGACGTTATATAATTATGATACGCGCTATACAAGAACTGAATATTATAACTATTCTTGTATAGTGGAAGCCGTCCGGTCACCAGCCTTGACCGGATATTCATTGTCACAGCGAGCTCATGACATTTAAATAGATAGGCGTTCCTTTAATTCTTTGTCATAGTTACTCTTTTCAGCCCAATCCATATTTGTTCAAAAGACGAAATGTTGAACTTCAAAGAGCTTCAGTTTAAGAAATTATATATATAAAGAATGGGATTAGTATAACGAAAGACCTTATGTTTGCAGTGGTGACCCCAGGAATGTTACGCGAGTACTAAGCAAGGCGTTACAAGTGACGTTGGGTGACGTGGCTCCAAATTAACGATCGTATAGAGATGTGTCTTTTGGTGTTATTACCTAGTCACTAGTGTATATCGTGGGTAAACAGACATTAACGCTCAATTATCTCAGAAATGAATATAGAAACAATTAAAATTACTAAACTCACTTTCACAATAACGCTGGGCTATGATGAAAGTGGAGACAGTCCTGCCTTTTTTTTAAAGACATTTTTGGCAGAAGGGATTTTTTGTGCCAGTCTTTTGTGCCCGTCTTTTGCTGGTCATCACCCGAAATATGTATGACTTAAACGATGTTGTATTTGGCCGTGTTTGCCACTTTTATTGATTTTCGAGTTATTTACTACATCTATAGCTCAGAGCATGCTCTCCAATTGGGGTTAGCAACAACAAGTGAGGGTTTCGCCTTTTAAGGAAGTTTCGGAAATTAGGGTCGGGTTCATGAATATAAGTGGCAAGACCGTTTGAATGTTTCTAAAGGCACTCATGATTTGCCTGGTTCTTTCAATATTAACTCAGAGATAACGTGCACCGTACCTGCATTAGACGACAACGTAAATTCTTCGTGTTCACCCGATACATCAGTAAGCTACAATGAACGATGCAACTTCTCTTGTCCGACTGGTTATAACCTAATTGGTCCATCGTCTGTTAACTGCACGGGCTCAGGAAATTTCTCGGAACCGTTTCCTGAGTGTGTGGGTAAGTGTAATATAGGAGCACTGTGGTATATTGGTTAAGGATCTTGACTCAGTTACCTCTCTTTTAACAAAATCCTCATGCAATGAGGGCTGCTTTTCGCAAATCTGGTTGGATTATTCCTTGAAATGCACTGTGCTTTCATAACGGCTGTCGCCGGAGCTAGGCTAATGATTTTCAAAGCTCTTTGGAAGCAAAGTGACGTTATATAATTATGATACGCGCTATACAAGAACTGAATATTATAACTATTCTTGTATAGTGGAAGCCGTCCGGTCACCAGCCTTGACCGGATATTCATTGTCACAGCGAGCTCATGACATTTAAATAGATAGGCGTTCCTTTAATTCTTTGTCATAGTTACTCTTTTCAGCCCAATCCATATTTGTTTAAAAGACGAAATGTTGAACTTCAAAGAGCTTCAGTTTAAGAAATTATATATATAAAGAATGGGATTAGTATAACGAAAGACCTTATGTTTGCAGTGGTGACCCCAGGAATGTTACGCGAGTACTAAGCAAGGCGTTACAAGTGACGTTGGGTGACGTGGCTCCAAATTAACGATATAGAGATGTGTCTTTTGGTGTTATTACCTAGTCACTAGTGTATATCGTGGGTAAACAGACATTAACGCTCAATTATCTCAGAAATTAATATAGAAACAATTAAAATTACTAAACTCACTTTCACAATAACGCTGGGCTATGATGAAAGTGGAGACAGTCCTGCCTTTTTTTTAAAGACATTTTTGGCAGAAGGGATTTTTTGTGCCAGTCTTTTGTGCCCGTCTTTTGCTGGTCATCACCCGAAATATGTATGACTTAAACGATGTTGTATTTGGCCGTGTTTGCCACTTTTATTGATTTTCGAGTTATTTACTACATCTATAGCTCAGAGCATGCTCTCCAATTGGGGTTAGCAACAAGAAGTGAGGGTTTCGCCTTTTAAGGAAGTTTCGGAAATTAGGGTCGGGTTCATGAATATAAGTGGCAAGACCATTTGAATGTTTCTAAAGGCACTCATGATTTGCCTAATTCTTTCAATATTAACTCAGAGATAACGTGCACCGTACCTGCATTAGACGACAACGTAAATTCTTCGTGTTCACCCGATACATCAGTAAGCTACAAAGAACGATGCAACTTCTCTTGTCCGACTGGTTATAACCTAATTGGTCCATCGTCTGTTAACTGCACGGGCTCAGGAAATTTCTCGGAACCGTTTCCTGAGTGTGTGGGTAAGTGTAATATAGGAGCACTGTGGTATATTGGTTAAGGATCTTGACTCAGTTACCTCTCTTTTAACAAAATCCTCATGCAATGAGGGCTGCTTTTCGCAAATCTGGTTGGATTATTCCTTGAAATGCACTGTGCTTTCATAACGGCTGTCGCCGGAGCTAGGCTAATGATTTTCAAAGCTCTTTGGAAGCAAAGTGACGTTATGTAATTATGATACGCGCTATACAAGAACTGAATATTATAACTATTCTTGTATAGTGGAAACCGTCCGGTCACCAGCCTTGACCGGATATTCATTGTCACAGCGAGCTCATGACATTTAAATAGATAGGCGTTCCTTTAATTCTTTGTCATAGTTACTCTTTTCAGCCCAATCCATATTTGTTCAAAAGACGAAATGTTGAACTTCAAAGAGCTTCAGTTTAAGAAATTATATATATAAAAAATGGGATTAGTATAACGAAAGACCTTATGTTTGCAGTGGTGACCCCAGGAATGTTACGCGAGTACTAAGCAAGGCGTTACAAGTGACGTTGGGTGACGTGGCTCCAAATTAACGATCGTATAGAGATGTGTCTTTTGGTGTTATTACCTAGTCACTAGTGTATATCGTGGGTAAACAGACATTAACGCTCAATTATCTCAGAAATGAATATAGAAACAATTAAAATTACTAAACTCACTTTCACAATAACGCTGGGCTATGATGAAAGTGGAGACAGTCCTGCCTTTTTTTTAAAGACATTTTTGGCAGAAGGGATTTTTTGTGCCAGTCTTTTGTGCCCGTCTTTTGCTGGTCATCACCCGAAATATGTATGACTTAAACGATGTTGTATTTGGCCGTGTTTGCCACTTTTATTGATTTTCGAGTTATTTACTACATCTATAGCTCAGAGCATGCTCTCCAATGGGGGTTAGCAACAAGAAGTGAGGGTTTCGCCTTTTAAGGAAGTTTCGGAAATTAGGGTCGGGTTCATGAATATAAGTGGCAAGACCGTTTGAATGTTTCTAAAGGCACTCATGATTTGCCTGATTCTTTCAATATTAACTCAGAGATAACGTGCACCGTACCTGCATTAGACGACAACGTAAATTCTTCGTGTTCACCCGATACATCAGTAAGCTACAATGAACGATGCAACTTCTCTTGTCCGACTGGTTATAACCTAATTGGTCCATCGTCTGTTAACTGCACGGGCTCAGGAAATTTCTCGGAACCGTTTCCTGAGTGTGTGGGTAAGTGTAATATAGGAGCACTGTGGTATATTGGTTAAGGATCTTGACTCAGTTACCTCTCTTTTAACAAAATCCTCATGCAATGAGGGCTGCTTTTCGCAAATCTGGTTGGATTATTCCTTGAAATGCACTGTGCTTTCATAACGGCTGTCGCCGGAGCTAGGTTAATGATTTTCAAAGCTCTTTGGAAGCAAAGTGACGTTATATAATTATGATACGCGCTATACAAGAACTGAATATTATAACTATTCTTGTATAGTGGCAGCCATCCGGTCACCAGCCTTGACCGGATATTCATTGTCACAGCGAGCTCATGACATTTAAATAGATAGGCGTTCCTTTAATTCTTTGTCATAGTTACTCTTTTCAGCCCAATCCATATTTGTTCAAAAGACGAAATGTTGAACTTCAAAGAGCTTCAGTTTAAGAAATTGTATATATAAAGAATGGGATTAGTATAACGAAAGACCTTATGTTTGCAGTGGTGACCCCAGGAATGTTACGCGAGTACTAAGCAAGGCGTTACAAGTGACGTTGGGTGACGTGGCTCCAAATTAACGATCGTATAGAGATGTGTCTTTAGGTGTTATTACCTAGTCACTAGTGTATGGCGTGGGTAAGCAGACATTAACGCTCAATTATCTCAGAAATGAATATAGAAACAATTAAAATTACTAAACTCACTTTCACAATAACGCTGGGCTATGATGAAAGTGGGGACAGTCCTGCCATTTTTTTAAAGACATTTTTAAAAGAAGGGATTTTTTTTGTGCCAGTCTTTAATGCCCGTCTTTTGCTGGTCATCACCCGAAATATGTATGACTTAAACGAAGTTGTATTTGGTTGCGTTTGCCACTTTTAGTGATTCTCGAGTTATTTACTACATCTATAGCTCAGAGCATGCTCTCCAATTGGGGTTAGCAAAAAGAAGTGAGGGTTTCGCCTTTTAAGGAAGTTTTGGAAATTAGGGTCGGGTTCATGAATATAAGTGGCAAGACCGTTTGAATGTTTCTAAAGGCACTCATGATTTGCCTGATTCTTTTAATATTAACTCAGAGATAACGTGCACCGTACCTGCATTAGACGACAACGTAAATTCTTCGTGTTCACCCGATACATCAGTAAGCTACAATGAACGATGCAACTTCTCTTGTCCGACTGGTTATAACCTAATTGGTCCATCGTCTGTTAACTGCACGGGCTCAGGAAATTTTTCGGAACCGTTTCCTGAGTGTGTGGGTAAGTGTATAGGAGCTCTGTGGTATTTTCATGTAGGTTCTTGACTCTCCTATGAGAGGTTCTTGGTTCTGGGTGATGGGTGATGGGTCATCACCAGAAATATGTTGTCTTCATAAAGTTGTATTTGGTAGTATCCTCGACTTTTCTTCTTTTTTCAAGTTATTTACTACATCCATAGTTCAGGGCATGACTAAATGCTCTCTGATTGGGGGTTGCTAACAAAGAATGGAAGGTTTCGCCTTTACTAGGTAGTTTTGGAGAATTAAGTTTCTTGTTTAATGATTATTAATTGCAGAATTTTTGAATGTTTCTAAAAGCACTCATGGTTTATCTGATTCTTTTCATTATTAACTCAGTAATAACGTGCACCGTACCTTCATTGGAAAAAAACGTATCTTCTTCGTGTTCAACCGGTACATCAGTAAGCTACAATGGCCTATGCAGTTTCTCTTGTCCGACTGGCTTTTACCTAATAGGTGCGTCGAATGTTACCTGCACGAGCTCAGGAGGTTTTTCGCAAATGTTTCCTCGCTGTGAGGGTAAGTGTAATATAGCAGCACTGTGGTATATTCATGTAGGTTCTGACTCTTCGACGAGAGGTTCTTGGTTCTGGGTGATGGGTGATGGGTCATCACCGGAAATATGACGACTTCATAAAGTTGTATTTGGTAGTATCCTCCACTTTTCTTCTTTTTTAAGTCATTTACTACATCCATAGTTCAGGGCATAACTAAATGCTCTCCGATTGGGGGTAACAACAAGGAATGTGACTTTCGTATTTTAAGGAAGTATCGGAAATTAAGGTCGGGTTCATGAATATCAATTGCAATTCTGTTTGAATACCTCTAGGTACTAGGCACTCATGGTTTGTCTCATTTTTTTCAATATTAACTCAGTAACAACGTGCACCGTACCTTCATTAGACGAAAACGTATCTTCTTCGTGTTGACCCGGTACATCAGTAAGCTACAATGAACGATGCAACTTCCTTTGCCTGTTCTTCGTCTAAGTTTTTTGTTTACATGATTGATTATTGGGTGATTCAGCATTTATTTTGTGTGTCACATTTTCTTTCGATGATGTTCTTTTTTTCTTTCAATTCCGCTTTAGTACCTGCCTCAGACGTTTGTTTCAGTAACAAGCAAACATATAATTGTAGCTGCACATCTCCTCCCGTGACATTACCACCAAAACCTACATTCTGTGGTAAGTATATTCTACAATCGACTGAGATTTTTGCAAAGATTAAAATGTTGTCTCCCCGAGAATCGAAACCGGTTCTGGTTAAGAACGCCAGTGCCTCACTAGGCTTTGATAACAGGCTAGTGGTTTCTGGGACTACATATTCAAACCGACAGTTTTGCCAAATCTTTAACCTCTCATGCATGTTATTTCCTTTCTTCTAGAAACAATTGGCCTACCTATTCAATATTGTCCAGAAAATTAAATGTTACCCACAAACTAGAACACGAGCTTAATATGGATCCTAATGCAATTAAGTGCTGGTAAAAAGAAGACATTGTAATCTAACTTTATAATGAATTTTCAACCCGCATTCATGTTGAACTTGGCAAGAATCAAACATGTAGCAGGGGGGGGGTGGGGTTAAACCCCCCCTTAAGTTTTTTTTTAATGTGTATGTTTTGTGTATGTTTTTTGGTTACCCCCCCCCCCCCTTTTTGACTTAAAAAAAAAAATTAAATGGCTAACCTAAAACAGGTGACCTAACCCCCCCCCCCCCCCCCCTCAACGGAACAAAATTTCAAATTTTCAAATTTCGAGACAAAAAAAAAAAAAAAAATGTCCTCTTACCCCCCCCCCCCCCCCCGCTTATTCAGCGACTGGCTGAATCGTTGCGATTATTTTGAGACTCCAAAAAAAAAAAGTGTCCGTATACACCCTCCCCCCCCCCCCCCCCCCCCCCCCCCTCTTATTCAACGGCTGGCTGAGTCGTTGCGATTTTTTGGGACTCCAAAAAAAAGGGGGAAAAGCCCACTTACCCCTCCCCCCCCCCCGCTTATTCAGCGGCTGGCTGAGTCGTTGCGAAATTTTTGGCCCGATTTTAACCCCCCCCCCCCCTTATAAAAAAAATCCTGCGTACGCCGCTGAGCCCACCGTATTTTTTTCCTTAACTGCCAACGACTAAGCAAGCGGGAAACTTTCTTTCGTTCTCTTCTAAAAATGATAATAATAATAATAGTGAACATATGTAATACGACATGTCTGTCAAACTTGACTGTCAAACTGGCACACTTGTGAAAAAATGTGGTATAAATTAATGTAGGCGCACATAAAAATAAAAAAGCACATTCTCATAAATGATAGACTTAAACATCATTTTTAACATAATACCGAGGTTTCTTTCATTCTAGACGATAGTTTGCACGAGTAATTTATGTTTACCTTCTATGACAAGTCATTGTGGATGCCAAGAAGTATTTTGAATTCGGTGTGATTACGTTTTTATATTTTACTACGGTACATTATTTTCAATTCAATTCAATAACGGTTTTATTTAAACATGTCTCACAGCCAGTGGCTGATTTGCACATGATTGCGCACATATTATGGTGGTAAGTTTAACAAAATGCATGTACAAGTATCGCATGAAATATAACCCTATAACTTACACGTTAACATAAGACAGCTTAGAATTGATTAAATCGAATTATACACCACCTACGAGGATCCTTGTCACTTGATTGGAGGATTATTGGTCACATGATACTCAATAGATGTTCTATTACACGGGCGTGCATTTTTGGTTATATGCAGACTGCGTGCCTCTCTGCCGTGCGCGTATCCTTACGTGTATCTGACGCGAAGGCAATCTGAATGTAATCGAGAAGGCTTGACTCCAAATTTAATTTATCTTTAATATAAGGATTAAAGCATAATTTGTTGATTAACGTTCTATTAGATCTTCTTCGATGTTGTATAAAACAAATAATGAATGTTTTTTATTCGTCCAATAGTGCGAATATTTTCATGAGTTGAAAGATTAACATTCTATTCAACGAGGCATTATTTGTATATTATACACCAAAAATAACAGCGGACATATATAGTTCTCTATTTGAGATTCCAAAGAATTGCTGAACAGCATGTAAGTGAGTTTTAAAAACATAATTTGTTTGCGTTCATCCAAGCTTGTGTAATAAAAACAATAATAGGCGTCTATCTAGACAATTCTATTCCGAGGCGCACAAGAAAAATAGAAAGAATGAGAGAGTTTGGATGAGTGTCAGATCAGTATTATGTGAAGAAGAGTATTTGGTTGTAATATGAAAAGAATAATATCCGACTCGTCAACAAAAGGAATACCTGACTTGCTCAAAGAAGAACACTGGAAGTCATTTTCTTTAATGAATGACGAAGGACCCAGAAGTGGTCCTTGGTGGACACCGTATGATATTGAACTTTGATAACAGAACTTTGGCCAGTGACAATATTTAGATATTGACGACATATTCTTTCCGTCTGTAAGATAATTTATGAACCACCTCAAGCCTAGGCCTTTCCATGAATCCAATGATGGGATAATTTATGTGGAAAATTATAGTGGTTAATAATATAAATGGCATGGGCTACTTTGTCCAGGAGCATGAATAAAACAATGGTTGTGGAGATGTCATTTTTCGCACTGCGACCTCACAAATCTTTTTTTTCCCCTTCGTTTCGCTCGCTATAGCAAATGAATATTTAGACCATCACATCCAACTGTAAAGTATGATGCTTAAGCAATATCTTGTATGATGTATAAAGAGAAACAAATATTGAAGGCATCCCAGATAATGTAATGAAGTAAAACTGGGTGGTTAGTAGAATAGAATAAATGGTATGAATGATGGCGGAGTTAAACCACCCTTTTACTTTATACGGTGAAAGTGAAATGGATGGAATGAATGGAATGAAGAAAAGAAACAAAGACACTGACTAACACTTAACTAACCTTATATTATCTGTACTCAGCTCAGCATAGCAGTAGATGTTCAGCTAACTCGTCGAACTCCCGGGTCTTGAGGTGAACCAGGAGTTGCATGATTCGGGAAGCTAGGTGATTCTGGAGTGTGTGTGTTTGTAGCCCCCCCCCCCCCCCCACTCCGAGAACGGACGGACCCCATGCGTTTTGCCAAATGTCCTTTTCGTAACAAAAGAAAAAGGTCGACCCGTATTGACTTTACACACCGGACTTTTGCTGAAAGGGGGGGGGGGTGCTGAAAAAGGCTCGTATACAAAAGAAAAAGGTCGAGCCGTACTGACTTTACACACCGGACTTTTGCTGAGAGGGGGGGGGGGGGTCGGTTGGAACAAGCATATGCGTACCCTAAATAACACTGAGTGGGGGGGGGGCAGGGTTTGTAGCAGCTCAGCAAAGTCCAGAATGCTTATAGGCACGTGCTCGAGAGGTTGGCAACGGACGGATGCGTAAGCGCATCCAAAATGCGTACATTTTTACCGTGTTTACACAGTGATCCGCCTCGAGGGTTGAAGCCGGGTTGAAGCCGCGAGGCGTGTTGAACTCGGCAATTTTATGTCATGTAAACGGGATCTGATCCGCCTCGAGGGTTGAACCCATGAAGGCCGACGTGAGCAGCCAATGAAAATGGTAGTACTGATATGCGCGCATAGTTTTCCTTTATGGCAAACTTAAAAGTATGAATAGGCCGCGCGTATGTTACTACTACTAGACCCCCCTCCCCCAGCTGAAGCTGATGTAGTAAAATTCCCCGCATTTTGACGTCATTGTGATCCGCCTCGAGGATTGAACTCTTTTTTTTTCTTCTTCCGTGTAAACACGATCACATTTGCGCGCTTTATAGAGTGTAACACGCCTCGCGGCTTCAACCCTCGAGGCGAATCACTGTGTAAACACTGTAAGTGTGAAACCTTGCGCGCTGGTAAAATATCCGCCGCCTGGTTTCACATATGTACTCTTGCGTCCACGAATGGGTACACAAAATTGGCATACTAAATGCCATTTTACAACAGTAATCACAATGTAGGGGTATATACCAATGCCTAACAAATTGTATATTTTCGCTTTGAGACTTCCCTTTGTAGGTGCCCTTTTTTCTCTCCAGAAAGTGCCCTCTTTGTTAGTGCCCCCCCTTGGAGCATCATTTATCCCCGATCAGCATTTGATTTTTCCCACGGTCAGTCGAATGTTTTATACCATTTGGAGGTCACGTGACGCCTCCGTGACCTAGTTCGAACGCATCGTACTCTCAATACGACGTCGTGTGGCCATCATGTAGCTTCGTGTTGCCTGCGGGTAAACTACTTAGTAAAAGTCCACATATTCGTGTTGCCTTCGTGTGTGGTTCGGGTGCTATCATGTGACCTTCTGAAGGCATCGTACTTACTTCGGCTGTTGATCGGCTGCTGACCAAGTTCGGGGCCATCTTCGTGGGAAATTTTAAAAAATCCATATTTTGTGTGTCCATCGGGGGTCGACTTCGGGACAGTGTGACGCGGGCATCAAGAACGTTCTAATACCCGCGTCACACTGTCCCGAAGTTGACATAAGATGGACACAAGAAATTTGAACTTCGCACGAAGATGGCCCCGAACTTGGTCAACAGCCAACCAACAGCCGAAGCAAGTACGATGCCTACAGAAGGTCACACGATGGCACCCGAACCACTGACGAAGGCAACACGAAGATGTGAATTTGTAAATAAGAAGTGTACCCGCAGGCCACACGAAGGCCTCACGACGTCGTATTAAGAGTACGATGCGTTCAAACTAGGTCACGAAGGCGTCACGTGACCAACCGATGGTATAAAACCTTCGACCGACGGTGGGAAATTCAATTGCTGATCGGAAATTAATGATGCTCAGAGCAGGGGCGTCGGAGCGACTTCCAAATCGGGGTATGGGACCAACAAAAAAGGGCACTTTCTGGATAAAAAAAAAGGGGATCTACAAAGGGAAATCTCAAATCGAAAATATACAATTTGTTAGACATCGGTATGTACCCATATACATTGTGGTTACGTTAACAAGGATGCTTTCAATATTTATTTCTCTTTGTACATCATACAAGATATTGTTTAAGCATCATACTTAGCAGTTGGGTGTGATGGTCTGAATATTTATATGCGAGCGAGGAAAAATTTTAAGATTTTTGAGGTCGCAGTGCCAAAAAATTACATTTTTAATATGAAGAGAACAAAACCCAATCCTGATGGAGTTATACTCACATTGTCATAACAGAAGACTGAAAATACATTTGATAAGTAACATAATTATATCATCTATGAATGTAAGTGAGTGTAGCAAGAGAGCTTTTGGGGACATTGCTTTTAGTCACTTTAAATTAGGGTCATGTTTAAAAAGAGAAGAAAAGGGGACACTTATCGAAAAGGATAAGACACTTTTTTCTTTTACCTGAAAAGAAGCCCTCACCAGGGACTAAAAAAGGCACTTATGAGAATGGTAAATGGGCATAATTGTCGATGGAATTCGGGTACCCATCATATTTTTATAGAGGCATTCATAAGAGTTGAAAATGGGCATTTATGAAAAGGGGATACGTCCCTTATTAGAAAGGAAAGGGGGCACGTTATTGTTAAAATGGACATTTTCAGAGGTGTAAAGGGACATTTTATCGCCCCTGGAAAGAGGCACTGACCAGATATGAAAAGGGTTACTTATGAGAATGAAAAGGGAGACTTTTAATAGGTGAAAAGGGGGCATTTATGAAAAGTGGAAGGAGCTCTTTAGTTTTAATGGGGGTACTTATCGTAAGGAAAAGGGGGCACTTATTAGATTTAAAAAGGGGCACACGTGGAAATAAAAGGTGCGCTTATCGGAGTTAAATGGGTAGTTATTAAAAGGGGAAAGAGGCAATTCCTACAAAGGAAAAGGGGCACTTGTCAAAGTAAAAGGGTCATCTCCCAAATTGGAATAGGATAACTATCAGAGGTAAAGGGGGAGGGGCACTTGTCGAAATTGAAATGGGGGCTTGTTAAAGGAAAAGGGGCGCATGTCAAAATAAAAGGGGTACTTATCATATTTAGAAATGTAATAGGGGCACTTTTTATATAGGGGCACTATCCTACGTAAGAAAGGGCACTTTTGGGGTACTTGAAAAGCCTCTGGCTATGAGGCTGGCTTTTTATATTCATGTATTCATTCAAAATAGTTTATTTCAAATAACGCTTTCATCGCGGCGTTTGTCTTACATTCAAATTTAAATGTAATATATAACATTGCATAACATGATTTATTGAATTTGAAAAAAAAAAAGGGATACATACGAGAAATATAGCTTATTCCGACATATTTCCATGTTACTATGACACATGGAAAACGCTTGAGCTACTTAAAGTCGGCTGTCTTCGCCGACACCATGGTCCCATCTGGATGTCATCGTACTGTAATACGATGGCTACACGATGGCATTGCGAGGGCTTCACGTAGTCGTGTTGCCTTCCGAAGACATTCGGGCAGCTTCTTGCTTCCTTCGTATTGTCTTCGTGAGGCGATAAATGCCCGATGGCACCGATGATCACACGAAGTAATGACGAAGATGACACGATTTGACAAGATGCCCTCACGATGGCCTTACGAAGGGCAACATGGACACACGAATACAACACGAAAATGAACCTTCGCAAGGTCTTCGGGCAATTTTTTGGCACGCCAAAGATTTTGCAATCACTCACGAAGTTACTGCCGGAGCCTGAAAAATCCACCGGCGGTCATACGATTGCTCCAGATGCCCTCACGAATGGCCAAATATGGCCCGATGTGTTTACGATCAGATCCGAATTTGGAATTTTCCTTCATCGTGTGTCCATCTTATGTCAACTTCGGGACAGTGTGACGCGGGCATAAGCAGAGTGGTTATGGTTCTAAGTTCTAACGATGGTCATAAAACAAAGTGATCAAATATTTGAGAACTTGCAAATCACGAGAAACATGAATATACAGAAATAATATGGCCAGGAATGTTAATGGAAGTTGTAGATACCTTATTTAAATCAATATTGGAAGTCCTTATTTGAACCATTTTCATTCCGTAATCTGAACGTTATCTGAACAAGCCCTCAAGAAAGGAAAATAACTTGTGAGTTATGAACGATCAAAATGTCATATTTCTCCAACGTTCATTAAATCATCCGTAAGATCGCCTTGGCTAACACAATATATGGTCTACAAACCAAATTTTTGTTTTAACTTGAAAGATACTGACAAGTATATTTAAATGAACGAAATCTTAATGAGTGTCATGTTGGCGAGTTCTCGAATTTTCGATCACCATATTTTACGACTATCGTCGGGAACTAAAATATATGAATAAACGTGTTAACTTTGTGTAATATGGAGGTTTGACATAAGAAATCAAACAACATAACGGCATGTTTACTACAAAAGAGACTTGAAAGCAAAAATGTTGTGAACATTGAATTGGCGCATCGTGTCGATATAGGTACTGCCAAATGAAGGAAAATTAGCATAATTTACATATTTTAGTCATGTTGGGGGAATTATCATGTTTCATTTGGGCATATTATTTGTGTGAAAGTTATCTGATGAAGAATAAGGGGTTGTACCGAATATATTATATTTGATAATTTAATGAAATTAGCAGAAGTGTTGTTTTACTAACTAGCACATGATTTCACAGGGGCCTCTTGGACGGGATCTCCATTCATTACAGCTTCCTGATTAAATGAAAAGGACCTTGAGACACGATGTTCTCCATAACTTTCTGTCTTCAGCCGCTCTTTTTAGCTGCTCAAATGACATTCCCAGCCACTGATTGATGTTATCAGTCCATAAAGGTGTTTCAAAAAGTAGAACGGAGCTAACCAAAGATTGTTAATTCCGCAAAGACATTCATAAAGCAATCCCTTCGTCAGTTGGTACATAATTATAGACTTGTACCGGTTTGCACGTAATGGCGAACGAGCGATCGTGGCGATAAGCGCTGATGACAAATACCAGACTCGTGTGGGTTCGCCTCGCACGCTAAGGGACGGCTTTGGGTATATTTTATACTTTCTGTACAGGTTTGGGAGTCAGGTGAGAAGGAGAGAACCCTATAAAAAAAAAATTCTCTGTTTTTTCTGAACAAAATCCACTTTCACCGTTTATCGGTAGGCTTAAAATATAACATTGTGTGGTTTTATGGCACTTGCTCCTGCGACAATTATTAACAAAAGGATGTGGAGGTCCTTGCTTTAATGTTGTAAACGTGCCTCGATTCTATTTTCATTGATAATCTTTATATAATATTTTTGATTCTTTCGTGGCCGTCTTTCACTGGTCATCATCAGGAAATAATTATGTTGACTTTATAAAATTGTATACGGTCGTATCCTCCACTTGTATCCATTTTCGAGTTATCCATAGCTCAGGGCTGACTTAGAGCTCTCCGATTGGGATTACTAACAACGAATGATGGTTTTGCCTTTATTAGGAACTGTTGGAAAATTTAGGTCAGGTTCTTAAATATATATGGCACGACTGTTCTAATGTTTCTAAAGGCACTCAGCGTTTGTCTGATTCTTTTCATTATTAACTCAGTAACGTGCACCGTACCTTCATTAGGAGCAAACGTATCTTCTTCGTGTTCACCCAATACATCAGTAAGCTACAGTGAACGATGCAACTTCTCTTGTCCGACTGATTATAACCTAATTGGTCCATCGTCTGTTAACTGCACGGGCTCAGGAGATTTCTCAGAACCATTTCCTGAATGTGTGGGTAAGTGTAATATAGGAGCACTGTGGTATATTAATTAAGGATCTTGACTCAGTTACTTCTCGTTTAACAAAATCTTCATGCAATGAGAGCTGCTATTCGCAAACCTGGTTGGATTATTCCTTGAAATGCACTGTGCTTTCATAACGGCTGCCGCCGGAGCTAGAGCTAGGCTAATGATTTTCAAAGCTCTTTGAAAGCATAGGGACGTTATGTAATATGGTACGTGCTAAACATTAATTAAATATTATAACTAATCTTGTATAGTGGCAACCATCTGGTCACCAGCCTTGACCGGAGATTCATTGTCACAGCGAGCTCATGACATTTAAATAGGCGTTCCTTTAATTCTTTGTCATAGTTAATCTTTTCAACCCAATCCATATTTGTTCAAAAGACGAAATGTTAAACTTCACAAGAGCTTCAGTTCATAAAAGAAATATATAAAGAATGGGATTAGCATAACGAAAGACCCCAATGTTACTATGGTTGCGATGGTGACCTTTAGGAGTGTTACGCGAGTACAGAGCAAGGCGTTACAAGTGAGTTTGGTTGACGTGGCTCCCAAGTCACGATCGGTGAAGTATATAGATGTGAGTTTTGGTGTTATTACCTAGATACTAGTGTATGGCGTGGGTATACAGAAATTTACGCTCAATTATCTCAGAAATGAATATAGAAACAATTACAATTGCTAAACTCACTTTCACCATAATGCTGGGCTATGATGATAGTGAGGACAGTCCTCTATTTCTTTTTTTTTGGCAGAAGGGATTTTTCATGCCAGCCTTTCGTGCCCGTCTTTTGCTGGTCATCACCTGAAATATGTATGACTTTAAAAAAGTTGTATTTGGCCGCGTTTGCCACTTTTATTGATATTCGAGTTATTTACTACATCTATAGCTCAGAGCATGCTCTCCAATTGGGGTTAACAGCAAGAAGTGAGGGTTTCGCCTTTTAAGGAAGTTTCGGAAATTAGGGTCGGGTTCATGAATATAAGTGGCAATACCGTTGAAAATTTGCAAAAAATGTGTTTAAATCATTGCATTTAACATATATTTGTTTCCTCAGGAACGTCAACAGTTACAATACCTACAACAACAACAGAAACTACAACATGTACTACACCAGGCAAATTTTGTTTGCGGTTCATAGCTAGACACCTTAAATTTTAAGAGACTTGTGTTCTCTGAATGTCATATGGTTGTTGCTTCTGTGAGCAGCATGAGAACAAATTGTCAGACCTGATACATGTCATTTCCAAAGCAAAAAAAACATTTGTAAACCACGTAAATTCATCTCAAAGTTCTTGAATATAGGGTTATATGTATGAATCATTGCATATAACATTTATTTGTTCCCTCAGTAACAACACTGGTTACAACACCTGAAACAACACCAGAAACTACAACAGGTAGTACACCAGGCACAACACCAGGTAACGTCAAATTTTATTTACGGTTCATATAGCTAGACACCTTATTAACTTTTAAAGGATTTGTGTTTTCTGAATGTCATATGGTAATTTCCCCTGTGAGCTGCTTTATAAAATTGTCAGACCTGATACATGTCATTTACAAAGCCAAACATCATTTGTAAACCACGTAAACTCATCTCAAAAATCTTGAATATAGGTGTATATGTATAAGTCATTTCATTTAACTTTTCCTCAGGAACAACACAGGTTACAACACCTGAAACAACACCAGAAACTGCAACAGGTAGTACACCAGGCACAAAACCAGGTAACGTCAAGTTTTGTTTACGGTTTATATCTAGACACCTTCTTGATTTGTAAAGGATTTGTGTTTTCTGAATGTCATATGGTTATTGCGCCTTGGAGCAGCTTTATAAAATTGTCAGACCTGATACATGTCATTACCAATGCCAAACAACATTTGAAACTTAAGTAAGTTAAGCGCAAAATTCTTGAATATAGGTGTATATGTGTAAATAATTGCATATAACATTTTATTTTTTCCTCAGTAACAACACCGGTTACAACACCTGAAACGACACCAGAAACAACAACAGGTACTACACCAGGCACAACACCAGATAGCGTCAAATTTTGTTAACGTTAACATTTTTTAAATCATTGCATGTAACATTTTATTTTTTCCTCAGTAACAACACCGGTTATAACACCTAAAAGGACACCAGAAACTACAACAGGTACTACACCAGGCACAACACCAGATAGCGTCAAATTTTGTTAACGTTAACATTTTGTTAAATCGTTGCATTTAATATATATTTGTTTCCTCAGGAACATCAACAGTTACAATACCTAAAACAACAACAGAAACTTCAACAGGTACTACACCAGGCAAATTTTGATAACGGTTCATAGCTAGGAACCTTTTTGAATTGTAAAGGATTTTTGTTTTCTAAATTTCATATGGTTATTGCTCCTGTGAGCAGCTTCACAAAGTTATCAGACCTGATTCATGTTATTTCCAATGCCAAACAACATTTGAAACTCTAGTAAATTAAGCGCAAAATTCTTGAATATAGGTATATATGTCGAAATTATTGCCTTTAACATTTAATTTTTTCCTCAGGAACAACACCGGTTACAATATCTAAAACAACACCAGAAACTACAACAGGTACTACACCAGGCACAACACCAGGTAACGTCAAATTTTGTTTACGGTTTATAGCTAGACACCTTACTAAATTTTAAAGGATATGTGTTCTCTGAATTTCACATGCGTATTGCCCCTGGGAGCAGCTTTATAAAATTGTCAGACCTGATACATGTCATTTCCAAAGCCAAAAAACATTTGTAAACCACGTAAATTTATCTCAAGATTTTTGAATATAGGTTTATGTATAAATCATTACATATAACATATAATTTTTTCCTCAGTAACAACACCGGTTACAACACCTGAAACAACACCAGCAACTACAAGAGGTACTACACCAGGCACAACACCAGGTAACGTCAAGTTTCGTTTACGGTTCTTAGCTAGGAACCTTATTGAATTGTAAAGGATTTGTGTTCTCTGAATTTCATATGGTTATTGCCCCTGTGAACAGCTTTACAAAATTGTCAGACCAGATTCATGTCATTTCCAAAGCAAAACAACATTTGTAAACCACGTAAATTAAGCGCAAAATTCTTGAATATAGGTGTATATGTTTAAATCGTTGCATTTAATATATATTTGTTTCCTCAGGAACATCAAAAGTTACAATACTTAAAACAACAATAGACACTTCAACAGGTACTACACCACGCAAATTTTGATAACGGTTCATAGCTAGTAACCTTTTTGAATTTTAAAGGATTTTTTTTCTCTGAATTTCATATGGTTATTGCCCCTATGAGCAGCTTTATAAAATTGTCAGACCGGATACATGTCATTTCCAATTCCAAACAACATTTGTAAACCACGTAAATTCATCTAAAAATTCTTGAATATAACATTTATTTTTCCTCAGGAACAACACCGGCATCAACACCGGTAACAACACCTCAAACAACACCAGAAACTACAACAGGTACTACACCAGGCACAACACCAGGTAACGTCACGTTTTATTTACGGTTTATAGCTAGACACCTTATTGAATTTTAAAGGATTTTTCTTTTCTAAATTTCATATGGTTATTGCTCCTGTGAGCAGCTTCACAAAGTTACCAGACCTGATTCATGTTATTTCCAATGCCAAACAAAATTTGAAACTCAAGTAAATTAAGCGCAAAATTCTTGAATATAGGTGTATATGTCGAAATTATTGCCTTTAACATTTAATTTTTTCCTCAGGAACAACACCGGTTACAATATCTGAAACAACACCAGAGACTACAACAGGTACTACACCAGGCACAACACCAGGTAACGTCACGTGTTATTTACGGTTCATAGCTAGATACCTTATTAAATTTTAAAGGATTTTTGTTCTCTAAATTTCATATGGTTATTGCCCCTATGAGCAGCTTTACAACATTGTCAGACCGGATACATGTAATTTCCAATGCCAAACAACATTTGTAAACCACGTAAATTCATCTAAAAATTCTTGAATATAACATTTATTTTTCCTCAGGAACAACACCGGCATCAACACCGGTAACAACACCTCAAACAACACCAGAAACTACAACAGGTACTACACCAGGCACAACACCAGGTAACGTCACGTTTTATTTACGGTTTATAGCTAGACACCTTATTGAATTTTAAAGGATTTTTCTTTTCTAAATTTCATATGGTTATTGCTCCTGTGAGCAGCTTCACAAAGTTACCAGACCTGATTCATGTTATTTCCAATGCCAAACAACATTTGAAACTCAAGTAAATTAAGCGCAAAATTCTTGAATGTAGGTGTATATGTCGAAATTATTGCCTTTAACATTTAATTTTTTCCTCAGGAACAACACCGGTTACAATATCTGAAACAACACCAGAAACAACAACAGGTACTACACCAGGCACAACACCAGGTAACGTCAAATTTCGTTCACGGTTTATAGCTAGACACCTTACTAAATTTTAAAGGATATGTGTTCTCTGAATTTCACATGCGTATTGCCCCTGGGAGCAGCTTTATAAAATTGTCAGACCTGATACATGTCATTTCCAAAGCCAAAAAACATTTGTAAACCACGTAAATTTATCTCAAGATTTTTGAATATAGGTTTATGTATAAATCATTGCATATAACATATGATTTTTTCCTCAGTAACAACACCGGTTACAACACCTGAAACAACACCAGCAACTACAAGAGGTACTGCACCAGGCACAACACCAGGTAACGTCAAGTTTTGTTTACGGTTCTTAGCTAGGAACCTTATTGAATTGTAAAGGATTTGTGTTCTCTGAATTTCATATGGTTATTGCCCCTGTGAACAGCTTTACAAAATTGTCAGACCAGATTCATGTCATTTCCAAAGCAAAACAACATTTGTAAACCACGTAAATTAAGCGCAAAATTCTTGAATATAGGTGTATATGTTTAAATCATTGCATATAACATTACTTTTTTCCTCAGTAACAACACCGGTAACAACACCGGAAACTACAACAGGTACTACACCAGGCACAACACCAGGTAACGTCACGTGTTATTTACGGTTCATAGCTAGACATCTTATTGAATTTTAAAGGATTTTTCTTTTCTAAATTTCATATGGTTATTGCTCCTGTGAGCAGCTTCACAAAGTTACCAGACCTGATTCATGTTATTTCCAATGCCAAACAACATTTGAAACTCAAGTAAATTAAGCGCAAAATTCTTGAATAAAGGTGTATATGTCGAAATTATTGCCTTTAACATTTAATTTTTTCCTCAGGAACAACACCGGTTACAATATCTGACACAACACCAGAAACAACAACAGGTACTACACCAGGCACAACACCAGGTAACGTCAAATTTTGTTCACGGTTTATAGCTAGACACCTTACTAAATTTTAAAGGATATGTGTTCTCTGAATTTCACATGCGTATTGCCCCTGGGAGCAGCTTTATAAAATTGTCAGACCTGATACATGTCATTTCCAAAGCCAAAAAACATTTGTAAACCACGTAAATTTATCTCAAGATTTTTGAATATAGGTTTATGTATAAATCATTGCATATAACATATGATTTTTTCCTCAGTAACAACACCGGTTACAACACCTGAAACAACACCAGCAACTGCAAGAGGTACTACACCAGGCACAACACCAGGTAACGTCAAGCTTCGTTTACGGTTCTTAGCTAGGAACCTTATTGAATTGTAAAGGATTTGTGTTCTCTGAATTTCATATGGTTATTGCCCCTGTGAACAGCTTTACAAAATTGTCAGACCAGATTCATGTCATTTCCAAAGCAAAACAACATTTGTAAACCACGTAAATTAAGCGCAAAATTCTTGAATATAGGTGTATATGTTTAAATCATTGCATATAACATTACTTTTTTCCTCAGTAACAACACCGGTAACAACACCGGAAACTACAACAGGTACTACACCAGGCACAACACCAGGTAACGTCACGTGTTATTTACGGTTCATAGCTAGACACCTCATTGAATTTTAAAGGATTTTTCTTTTCTAAATTTCATATGGTTATTGCTCTTGTGAGCAGCTTCACAAAGTTACCAGACCTGATTCATGTTATTTCCAATGCCAAACAACATTTGAAACTCAAGTAAATTAAGCGCAAAATTCTTGAATATAGGTGTATATGTCGAAATTATTGCCTTTAACATTTAATTTTTTCCTCAGGAACAACACCGGTTACAATATCTGAAACAACACCAGAAACAACAACAGGTACTACACCAGGCACAACACCAGGTAACGTCAAATTTTGTTCACGGTTTATAGCTAGACACCTTACTAAATTTTAAAGGATATGTGTTCTCTGAATTTCACATGCGTATTGCCCCTGGGAGCAGCTTTATAAAATTGTCAGACCTGATACATGTCATTTCCAAAGCCAAAAAACATTTGTAAACCACGTAAATTTATCTCAAGATTTTTGAATATAGGTTTATGTATAAATCATTGCATATAACATATGATTTTTTCCTCAGTAACAACACCGGTTACAACACCTGAAACAACACCAGCAACTACAAGAGGTACTACACCAGGCACAACACCAGGTAACGTCAAGTTTCGTTTACGGTTCTTAGCTAGGAACCTTATTGAATTGTAAAGGATTTGTGTTCTCTGAATTTCATATGGTTATTGCCCCTGTGAACAGCTTTACAAAATTGTCAGACCAGATTCATGTCATTTCCAAAGCAAAACAACATTTGTAAACCACGTAAATTAAGCGCAAAATTCTTGAATATAGGTGTATATGTTTAAATCATTGCATATAACATTACTTTTTTCCTCAGTAACAACACCGGTAACAACACCGGAAACTACAACAGGTACTACACCAGGCACAACACCAGGTAACGTCACGTGTTATTTACGGTTCATAGCTAGACACCTTATTAAATTTTAAAGGATTTTTGTTCTCTAAATTTCATATGGTTATTTCCCCTATGAGCAGCTTTAAAACATTGTCAGACCGGATACATGTCATTTCCAATGCCAAATAACATTTGTAAACCACGTAAATTAATCTAAAAATTCTTGAATATAACATTTATTTTTCCTCAGGAACAACACCGGCATCAACACCGGTAACAACACCTCAAAAAACACCAGAAACTACAACAGGTACTACACCAGGCACAACACCAGGTAACGTCACGTTTTATTTACGGTTCATAGCTAGACACCTTATTGAATTTTAAAGGATTTTTGTTTTCTAAATTTCATATGGTTATTGCTCCTGTGAGCAGCTTCACAAAGTTATCAGACCTGATTCATGTTATTTCCAATGCCAAACAACATTTGAAACTCAAGTAACTTAAGCGCAAAATTCTTGAATAAAGGTGTATATGTCGAAATTATTGCCTTTAACATTTAATTTTTTCCTCAGGAACAACACCGGTTACAATATCTGACACAACACCAGAAACAACAACAGGTACTACACCAGGCACAACACCAGGTAACGTCAAATTTTGTTTACGGTTTATAGCTAGACACCTTACTAAATTTTAAAGGATGTGTGTTCTCTGAATTTCACATGCGTATTGCCCCTGGGAGCAGATTTATAAAATTGTCAGACCTGATATATGTCATTTCCAAAGCCAAAAAACATTTGTAAACCACGTAAATTTATCTCAAGATTTTTTAATATAGGTTTATGTATAAATCATTGCATATTACATATAATTCTTTCCTCAGTAACAACACCGGTTACAACACCTGAAACAACACCAGCATCTACAAGAGGTACTACACCAGGTACAACACCAGGTAACGTCAAGTTTTGTTTACGGTTCTTAGCTAGGAACCTTATTGAATTGTAAAGGATTTGTGTTCTCTGAATGTCATATGGTTATTGCTCCTGTGAACAGCTTTACAAAATTGTCAGACCAGATTCATGTCATTTCCAAAGCAAAACAACATTTGTAAACCACGTAAATTAAGCGCAAAATTCTGGAATATAGGTGTATATGTTTAAATCATTGCATATAACATTAATTTTTTCCTCAGTAACAACACCGGTAACAACACCAGAAACTACAACAGGTACTACACCAGGCAGAACACCAGGTAACGTCACGTGTTATTTACGGTTAATAGCTAGACACCTTATTCAATTTTAAAGGATTTTTATTCTCTAAATTTCATATGGTTATTGCCCCTATGAGCAGCTTTACAACATTGTCGGACCGGATACATGTTATTTCCAATGCCAAACAACATTTGTAAACCACGTAAATTCATCTAAAAATTCTTGAATATAACATTTATTTTTCCTCAGGAACAACACTGGCATCAACACCGGTAACAACACCTCAAACAACACCAGAAACTACACCAGGCACAACACCAGGTAACGTCACGTTTTATTTACGGTTCATAGCTAGAGACCTTATTGAATTTTAAAGGATTTTTCTTTTCTAAATTTCATATGGTTATTGCTCCTGTGAGCAGCTTCACAAAGTTATCAGACCTTTCCAATGCCAAACAACATTTGAAACTCAAGTAAATTAAGCGCAAAATTCTTGAATATAGGTGTATATGTCGAAATTATTGCCTTTAACATTTAATTTTTTCCTCAGGAACAACGACGGTTACAATATCTGAAACAACACCAGAAACTACAAGAGGTACTACACCAGGCACAACACCAGGTAACGTCAAATTTTGTTTACGGTTTATAGCTAGACACCTTACTAAATTTTAAAGGATATGTGTTCTCTGAATTTTACATGCGTATTGCCCCTGGGAGCAGCTTTATAAAATTGTCAGACCTGATACATGTCATTTCCAAAGCCAAAAAACATTTGTAAACCACGTAAATTCATCTCAAAATTCTTGAATATACACTGTCGCTCATAAAGGTGGAATATTTTTTTGTTATCCCAATTTATGGAATTATCTTAAAAATAATTTAAAAATAATAGATCTAGATAATAGTATACATTCTCAGATTTTATTGAATAATAATTTGCCAATGTGTGTCTCGCGTGACTGCTAAAGCATGTGTTTGCTACTATGCTTATCAACTAGGGGACTTATGCCCTTAAGTCATAAATGACAGTAATGAGGATTAATGCCCCACAAAAGGGCACTCATATAGCACATCGACACGGTTTTGATACTGGGGCCTCACAGTTACGAGGCCATTGCTTTGTCACTGAACTATGAATGTACGCAGCGGGGGCTGGGGGTAGGGGGCAGTTTCAATAAATATTAAAAAACACAGAAAATGCAATACATTTTCAATAATTTATTGCATTTTTCCCCGGTTCCCAACATAACAAATCTTCTGTGTGCCCATGCCTTGAGCCATTATGCATGGCCGTCCAGAGGTTTTTTTTAAATACTAAACAAAGATGTTAGCTATGCTCTGTTCATATCATAGCTTTGATCGCCTAATAAATTTCAAAAACATATTGGTAACTTACCACTCCCCTTAGAATTAAATAAAGAAGGCGAAAGAGTCTTTTCACTTTCTAATGTAACAATCTTACGGACACCATTTTCAATTTTCCGAGCTTTTGGAACATGTGACTCGGGGTACACAGGAGTTTTGTGCGGTGACGCGAGTAAGATCTTTTTTTATATGCTTTTACTGGTATTGCTTACAATTATTAATGTCTATTAGTATTAGAGTATTGCGAATTAAAGGATATTTTGGGTTATTGTTGCTCACTACAGAAAACCAAGTACATATGGTCACAAGGCGGGAATCGAGCAACGGCTTGTATCAAATCATATCATGTCTTTGTAATTTAAAATGTGGTTATATTACTACTACTAATAATAATGCCTTTGCAAAGCTTACAATCGTTCTTTTATTTCATGATACATACACATACTCAAAGTCATCTCTTGACAGATATTCTGTATAATGCTTCAATAACCGATCATGATATACAGACCCCGAGGAAGAACAAATCAACTTTGTCGGTTGATCTGAAGCGGGTGATCCCTCGATCTTTATTTTAATCATAATATTTTTTTTTCCAGAATAGTCCTCGTAAAATATATATGTTAGTGTTTTGTTTTTTTATGTTTTAAGATTTTGTACTTCACATTTTATGATCGTAAATAAAACCAAATCAAACCAAACCAATCCCATTCCCATCACTCCTGCCTCTGCTTAAACACGGGAGAAAGCAAAACATGGGTACTTCATGGAAACGTTTGCATAGCGTGACTGTACTCACATCTAGTCACTTGTTATTTTCCTTCTAAATATGCTTGTTTTGTTTGATATGATTTCTCTCCTCTTTGTAGTTAACTGTACTGGTGACGATCCATGTCTGAACGGAGGTACCTGTGAGAACAGTACATGTACATGTGCTTCGGGATTTACCGGATCTGTGTGTGACAGTGGTAATGGTAAGAACATATATCATTATTACTGTCGGGTCCAAATGGGCCCGAATCTGCCCGCCGCCCCATTTTGGAGGCTTGAAAAAGAGGTTGGGGCCAGAGAGAGTGACGGAAGAAAAAAGAGAATAGAATATTCAAGGCCAGAAAGAAGAAAAGAGGAAAAGCACAGAGCGATAGAAAGACCAAAACAAAAATGATTCCGGTCTTTTATATAACACGGTACGCGGTTAACAGTACTTTGTCTCACAGGCACTCACTGAATATAGTAACGTGAATGGGCCTACTATGGTCCACTGTTTTATAATAAACTCCCACATTCTGTTCAGTCATGCAAATCATTATGTTAAAAAGACAATGTCGTCTTTTTGTGCATTTACTTTGACTCTGTTACCTGTGTGTGCATTTATTTAATGTCCCCTTCACCACTGGCGATTTTTTATTATTTTTTATAAAACCAACACATGTGATTGCAAAATTTTATCGTCAATTTTCAAAAGTGCAATAGTCCTATTTTACGCTATTCCTTCTGTAATTATTCTGGTGTTTTTATCTATTATTTTTGTTTCTTTGTTTTCGTTTTAGGCATGTTTTTGTTAGTGTTATAATTCATTATTTTGTATATAATTGATAATAAATATTGTATTATTAAAAAAGTGTTATTTTCAAAAATATATATTTTTAAATTGATATTTCATATTTATGTACAATAATGATGGTAATGTTATATTGATTTGTCTATACTGTTTAATATTATATTAGACAGGACTTTCTTGAAAAGCAGGTCCACTGGCTTTCAGTGGAATTGAAATTACCCTGGTGAAAGATATCATAAATAAATAAGGTATATACGTATGAATCCTACGTTACGCAACCAATACCTCACTGATTTACAGACGTATTGAATTTGTGGACAGATGTCATATTTGAGTTTAAAAAATGAGGTTAACGTAAATATGATGTACGGCAATGATATGGCCAGCAAGGAAAATGGAATTTATAAAAACACAATGCTAAATATATTACTCATTGCGGATGTAATATCGAAATTAATATCGCTAGTGATATTCGTTTGTCTGGCAATGTGGTCAATAAGGAATCTGAAAGATCACGACGTTTCGTGCGCTATCTGCAACACTTCGTCAGGTAACATCTCATGAAATGATCTCTTTTCATCTATCTATCTAAGTCACTATCTATGTGCCTGTCTGTAAAAACATAATTTGAAAAAATCTTGGAAGTCCTTATTTGAACCATTGCCATTCCGTAATCTGACCGTTATCTGAACAAGCCCTCTAGAAGAAAAAAAACGTTTGAGTTATGAACGATCAAAAATGTCATTTTTTTTCCAACGTTCATGAAATCATCCGTAAGATCGTCTTCAGCAGCCCCCTTTTTTGTAGGGGGGCTATGGAAAATCATGATTATCACATGCACATTCTGTTCAAAAGGTTGACCGTTAACAAACGAAATTTGTAATTGACTCCTGTTTCTTGGTTTAGCATCGTTTATAACAGAGGTCGAACAGTCTGAGGGTAGCAATCGAAGAAAACGTGCAGCTGTTCCCATCGGGTCAACAGTGGTACAGAACCTGCTGGATTCAGTAAGTGCAACCTTGGTCATTTCTCAAAATAAAACCTTGAGTTTGGAAAACTCTCTATGCAAAGTGTACCAAACACCTAATAAAATAGTTGTGTTCAGCTAGAATGTATAAAGTCAACCTTAATACCTTAATAACTTTATCCGGCATTATATGGACCAAGAAGAAATAACAGAATAGCATGAAACCAAGTCAACGGAACCCAAGCCGGGCTTTGGTTTCGTGTGGGTCCTATTCTATGGGAGTGTATTATGTGCGTCGAGGAGTTGGTTTTATTTGAATTGAGTGTGTATTCAATGTGCAGTATCTGTTTACATACTGATATTAAAGGTTTTATTTTGAATGTAGTATAGCCACATGTAACTACTAACACACAGAATAAAGTACGTTTTGGTTATTGGTACACTTTAAAGTCAACTGTTTTACGTATTATAGAAGGGTGCTGTGTAAATCAGAATCGGTCATTATCGGTTAGCAAAAGGCAAGCTTAAACATGACACCTCAAACCTAACCCTATATCGAACCATAAACCTGAACCCTACCCTACCAGTGCGTTAGGACCAATTGGATTAAACAATTTTGTATTCACTTATTTATCTATGATTTTATTTATTCCTTTATTTATCTTTTCATTTATTTTTATCTCTGTTCATCTATTTATTTATTTACTTATTTCTTAATATGTTTCTTAAAGTATAACTTAATTATTTATTCAATTATTCATTTATTTATATAAATAATACGTATGTATTTATTTATTCATTTATTTATGTAATAATTACCTTTTATTCATCTATTTAGTCATTGTTCTCCCTTTTAGTCTGATTTTGCTTAATATTGCTGTTTCGCAGTTTCTCACCTAGTGCCTTCAATTAAGTCTCTATTCATTGACTTAGCTTTCTTACATTCTAATCATTCTTATCATTATGTCAGCCCTGTAAAAAGGAAAAATATAAATTTAATATGATTGATACAGAAGATCGACTCATAACTTAGCCCACCATAGCTAGTTGAAAGAGATAGTTACGTCATCGGAAGTTGCCTCTTATAAGTCAGTCATTCCACGGAGAATCAAATAGTTCCTTCCCATTTACAGAAATAATACGTGGGAAGGAACTATATAAATAATTGTTGGTGACATCAATTGGCAGTGCTCCTTACAGGAAAATAACGTACCATTGTGTAGTTTCAGAAGTGGTGAGGTTTGGGAAAACTGTTTTAAAACGTCAGATTGAACACAAACAAAGCGATTCTGACTTTTCAAACACAGACATGAAATTATACGAATTATTACGTGGGAGTGTCGTGATCGAGTTGTTTAAGGTGCTTGACTTGAGATGCGAAAGTCGAAGGTTCGAATCCCGACGCGGCATTAATATCCTTTGGCAAGATATTAACCTGCACTTGCTACTCTCCACCCAGGTGTTAAATGGGTACCCGGTAGGATGCGGCCATCATTGTTGGTCAAACAGCTTGTGAGCGTCAAGTAACGTTCGGCCGGAATGCTCCCCAGGGGGTGGAGATTGTGCACACAGTGTGTGCGGGCAAGCACTGAATCCAATGACCGGGGTAATAGTATATTTGTAAAGCGCTTAGAGACATTTGTATTAAGCGCTATATCAAAATTAAATATTATTATTATTATTACATGTAGGTCAACATAAATTGAAAAGGCCCGGGCAATAATTGAGCAGGAGTTCTTCAAAAAGATGTAAAAGTACAACTAAGTAAAGCACTTTTTTCAACTATGATTGTTCATTTTTCGGCCATATATTTAAACATGCGATGTGTGCGAAAAGTGAGTACTTTTTAGCGCTAATGCTAACGCTAATTGTACGAGGTCTTATGGGTTGTAATGTAATCAAAGTTATGCTTAAGTGCCTCGATACGAAATATTTCATTCACCTGTTAAGATTGATTGTACTTCAATAGCCACTGACTATTAGTCAAAATTAAAATTGCATATATTACGTGTTGTTAGGTTTAAGGAAAGTCAGAAGATGTGTCCTACCTAGCAACAGCAAATGTGTGCGATTTTAATTCTGACTATTGAGATACATTTATTCGTAACAGGTGAATGAAATAATTTGTATTGAGGCGCTTCACGAAGGTATATGCGTACGTTTGGTAACATAACGAAAATGGCCTATTATCTGTTGATGATACCTAAATTGGCTATTGTTCGCAATTGCGCAAAAATGATTATGTGTAGAAGACCTAAATTTGGTTGAATGGGATACCTGCCCCTCCTGGGGCCTTGGGAGCGATGATGCTGTGAAAAATTAATATCTGCGTCATTAAACTGAAATTTTCTCTATCTCTTTTAGATCGTGAATGCTGTCGACATTCTTCCAGAAGTAAATAGTGTAAATGGAATAGCCATTTCAGCGAATGATGATACCATTGATCTCATCACAGCAAGGGTCAGACTGGACGTGACCTTTAAGAGTGACATCACGATTCAACAGTTGAGATTACTCATGATAGCCTCTATCAACAACATCCCTGGAGTCAACGTTCAAAGTGAGTCATGCAGCTGCATTACTACATTCGCCACTCTCTACCCAAGTGTTAAATGGGTCCGATAGGAATGAATGTATTGACTGCTGTTGGCAACGGAATCTGTAGTCTGGGAGTGTCTCGAGTCCCTTGTTTGGTGGATATATGTGCTGTAATTAACATCCATTTTTATTTTGTTTCTTCTTTTCTTTCTTTGTCTTCTAATTTTCTTTTCCATCTTCTTCTTCTTCTTCTTCCTCATTAATTGCTCACCTGAGCCAAACGCTCTTGAAAATGTTTGATTTTGTTTTGATTTTTTTTTTTTAATTGTTCCATTTGGCTCAGTCAGTAGAGCGTCCGCCTCACAACCGGGAGGTCGTGGGTTCAAACCCCGGCCGCGTCATACCAAAATACGTTAAAAGATGGGAGTTGTTGCTACGCTGTTTGGCGTTCAACAATAAGGGATAGAGCAACGCCGATCTGGCGCTGCTCAGTGGCTGCCGGGCTCACGATCAATTGGGCAAAAAGAATTTTCGTTTCGGTTTAATAAAATTTGGAGTGGACTATTAGGCTAATATTATTATTAATATTATTAAATGCCTAGTTACCCTCGACTTTTTATTTCATATTCTGATTGTGAAGGGTAAAAAGTATTCGTATCAAATCGTTGGTTTGGATTCTGGCTAAAAATTTTAGGAATCATTTTATGTGAAGAAATGGGATACCTCACCCTGCCGGGGACCTGGAAGCAGTACCCCTAGATTGCCCTACTGTTCCCATAAATCCTATGTTCCAGGTGTAAGTGGATAGGAGCGAGGTCCCTTTGTGTGAAGCTCCTACTTTTATCGGCTTAGGGGAGATTATGGTCTACGGACCTCTCATTGATGTTATCATTATTATAATTATCATTATTTTGATGATTATCGTTATCATTATCATCATTATTATTATTTTTATTTTTACTATTACACTGTTGCTCATAACGGTGGAATATTTTTTTTTATCCCAATTTATGGAATTATTTTAAAAATAATTTAAAAATACTAGATCTAGATAATAGTATACAGTCTCAGATTTTATTGAATAATAATTTGCCAATATGTGTTTTGCGTGACTGCTAAAGCATGCATATTATGCTACTATGTTTATTAACTAGGGGACCTATGCCCTTAAGTCATAAATGACAGTAATGAGGATTAATGCCTCACAAAAGGGCACTAATATAGCACATCGACACGGTGTTGATCCTGGGGCCTCACAGTTACGAGGCCATTGCTTTGTCACTGAACTATGACTGTACGCAGCGGGGGCTATGGTAGGGGGCAGTTTCCATAAATTAAAAAAAAAACAGAAAATGCAATAAATTTTCAATAATTTATTGCATTCTACCCCGGTCCCCAACATAAAAAAAATCTTCTGTGTGCCCATGCCTTGAGCCATAATGCATGGCCGTCCAGAAGATTTTTTTATGTTGGGGACCGGGGTAGAATGCAATAAATTATTGAATATTTATTGCATTTTCTGTTTTTTTTTTAATTTATGGAAACTGCCCCCTACCATAGCCCCCGCTGCGTACAGTCATGGTTCAGTGACAAAGCAATGGCCTCGTAACTGTGAGGCCCCAGGATCAACACCGTGTCGATGTGCTATATTAGTGCCCTTTTGTGAGGCATTAATCCTCATTACTGTCATTTATGACTTAAGGGCATAGGTCCCCTAGTTGATAAACATAGTAGCATAATATACATGCTTTAGCAGTCACGCAAAACACATATTGGCAAATTATTATTCAATATAATCTGAGACTGTATACTATTATCTAGATCTAGTATTTTTAAATTATTTTTAAAATAATTCCATAAATTGGGATAAAAAAAAATATTCCACCGTTATGAGCAACAGTGTATTTTTTTTTCTTCAATATTTTTATTATTATTATCATCATCTTCATTATTATTATTCTGAATTTATAAAGCGCCTCACATAAACATTGTAACATCAGTCATCGCATCCAGGCTTACCTGTACACAATGTCCGCACATTCTCCACTATCAGGCGGGGGAGGGGGAATGTGTTTTGTTATTGCTTTCTGATCAATTTTGGAAAACACATATTGCTCATATTTATGTGGTACTGGGTGCACTTAAATCTATGAAAAAAATAATTCACAGAAAGGCTTCATTTATTGCGCGTAAGACAACATAGCTTTTATTTTTCTAATATATTGGAGGTTTGTTTATTTTTTTTACTTGACTGCAAAAATGCTTGTAAGTAAGCAGCCAGGGGACCGACGGTTTGAAGTCCTCTCCGACGGACTTGGTAATGAGGATTAATGCCTAACCGAAGGGCAGTAGCACATCGACTTGATTTCGAACCCGGGTCTTCCCGGCTACGAGACCACTGCTCTACCACTGAGCTATCGCATATCTGATTGCTCTAACAAGTACATCCTATACATTGCTAACATTTCATGACGGGAGGCAAACATTTTAAATCATTTCCATCCGCAGGTTTTGAGTTGCTGACTGATCCATGTTCATTGGATAATCCTTGTGGTAATGGAGAAACATGTGAAAGGGTCGAGCCCGGCTCTGCGAATGTCACCTGCATGTGAGTTTCTCCTGTTTTTATGTTCTGTAAATATGCCCTCATTTTCTGTATTTCAGCAGGACAGGGGGCGTTGAGTTAGACTATCCATTAAGGGTTTGTGGAACAGGGGGAGGGGTGGGGCGGGGCATGGTCATACTTCAAAAATTAAATGTGAATTTACTAGTCTATTTGATGGGGTAAGAGTGCGGGAAATGGTCCAGGGATCTTCTTTGCTGGTCATTTTCCGTTACCACCCCCTCCTCCCATAACGTGCCCCAACATCCACTGTTGCAGTAGTTGGGCCACTGCAGCTGGAAAGCATGTTTAACAGACGATTTACTTTTTTTGATAATATAATTTTCCCCTCATCCCTAAATTCATGAAGGAAATCCCCGGAACAGGTTGCATGCAGTATTACAATACAATACAATACAAGTTGCCAGACAGACATGCTGTAGCATCACCAGGAAGACAAAGGCAATGATGATGTCTTGTACATATGTATGGAAGCATGCAATTCTACTATGAACGTGTGTTAAGCTGGGGGAAATTGTCTATTCTAGAATATTAGTTTAGTCTGACATGTCTGGCATAGCAACTTAAACTTTGCTATTGTTTGTGGTAGTGTAACAGGTGGTCAACTTTGGCAAAGTTACATGACACTTTCTCAAGTAGGTCGGCCATGGGAATAATTTTTTATTTATTTTTTTATTTATTTATTTAAAAAAAAAAAAATTAAAAAAAAAGGGGGGGGGGGTTAGGTTTTTTTTAGGGGGTTTTACATACATAAAATTACCAAAGGGGGGGTTAACCACCAAACCCCCCCCCCCCCCCCCCCCCTGTGGACGCGCCTGGTCCCATCTACCAGATTTCGTGTACAGTGCATGTGAAGCTCAACTAGACTGACTCGATATTTATACTGGTCATTCCAAAACCTCACGATATACACCAGTTCTTATGTGCTACATAAAGTTTTCAATTGCTTTTAGACAGTTTAATTCATATTGTTATCACATGACCGATACAATACTCAACTTTGTCTTTTAGAATTAGTCCTCAAATTGGCAGTCCAACAGCTCTTATCATCGCCCTGCCCATCGTGGCCGTCCTGGTCATTCTCATCCTTCTTACCGTGGGTTACCTTGCACGTTTCTACCGTGGCCAGAGGTGGCAAATGGAGACTATGTACGGTGTATCGCATGGCATGACGGGTCACTTCAAGAAGGACACCAGTCGGAATAGGCGTTCTAGACCGTCACGATACCAGCAGACCGAACACTTTGTACACGTAAGTCCTCAGGATCACTTTCAGAATTTTACCCCAAAAGGAGGAGGAAAGGCGCAATATTCCCCCCAAAATGCTGAAAAGCAGGGGGGAAAGGGTCACCAGGATTTGCATGTGCCTTTATATTTTTACAAATTCAAGCAAGCAAAGAGAAATACATGTACCCCTAAAAAACATGAAGAAAAAAAAATTTAATTACATAAAACAAACAAAAAACGATGGGGTGGGCTGGGCATACTTTGTGACTCGTTTATGCCACGTTGATTCCGAAGGGGTGGGGCATTTGCGTGACGTCCCAGATTTGTGCTACGATAAAAACGTTAGTTCTGTCAATCAAACTTGGGCACTGCTTCTTCTCGTTCTACTCCTGGGGTCCCGTCTTCTAAAGAGTTGATATCACTCGCAACTAGGACACTGCAAACTTGGTATTGATAGGAAGACTTGCGATTGATTTTGATCAATCGTAACTCTTTATAAGACGGGGCCCTGGTGCCACATCACAGAAGTAAAAACTTATTGTCGCTGAAGATTGCCCTAAAAACGGGGCGGTGGCCAGAAAATACCACCAAGCCGATATAATCATTGAGGGAGATTCATTAGCATAACAACGATACCCTCTACATTTTCCTCATAAACAATTTGTTGCTTGTATTACAATCAGTGGTGTCTTTGCGGATGACAGGAGGCCTGTGTTGTTAGTGGCATTTGAAGGAGCTGAAAAAACCGCAAAAGAGGGGCCACAAAAAATGCAAAAGAAAACAAGAGAGAGGGGAGGAAAGGGAAGAAGAAAAAAAAAACATAAAATTGATTTCTCGAAGATAGTTGATAGTCGGCAAAAAATCCCTTGTGTTATACCACGCATTGACAAAAGTTCTTTGACGTTCACTGTTTAAGTAGTTGATACGATTGAAAGGCTCGTTCAAATAAGACGTGGTAACGACCTCAAAACACGCCTGCTGTGTACGTGTAAATGCAAGGCAACTGCGCACAACAAAGGTACTACGTGTATTCACTGAATCCGTGTTAACAGATCCAGGAATGTGAAGCATATACGTCATCACTAGGCCTCTTTACATATCAACAAAAACATTTACATTCCTGGGAATACCCTCAAAAACCCGTGGAAGTTTGCTCATACCGATTTTTTGTGAGTAGTGCACATACGCCACTCCTCGGTGCCCTGCATGCGTTAGCACGGAAGCAACACAACGATGAAACTTCGGCAGGCGTTTCATGAAACCACACTCGAGAGGAGGATTTTTCGATTTCGATCTTTCATCGTCTTTGCCAGTGGTAGCTTTGCCGGAATGTGAACAAATTGGCGATTTCTGTTTCTAATGTATATGCAGCTAGTAAATAGATCGGCCGTGGTTTTGCCGCTTTATATCTTAATGAGGCTTCGCAACTTATACTATTCTTTTCATTGAACCTATCAGGAAAGCACTTCGGGAGCGAGACGAAAGCGGAGCAGAAGTGTCGGCCACCTGTCTTCGGGACACATCAACCCTCCATTCGTGCACGAATACAAGGATGGGCAAGAGATGGGCTGGAGATTGAATACTGGAGAGGTGTTTCGTCATGATAGCGAAGCCCAGGGCTTGCCCTATCGGCAGACGGTAGACGACAATGGATTTTCATATAGATATCGAACAGCCAGTGGTTACTGGACAGAGGCGTCCTACTCAAACGGCGCCCCAAAAAGGAATGGCCAGGATAAATTCTACCATGGATCCTTGGACACGTACTTTTAAACGAGTACGTGAAAACCAGACAGAGATTTGTCATGAGGTTGAGAGGGGTGACCTATTCATGCATCCAGTAGCGTATTCGGTATGGAATTGAGCTAGCATAGTCCCTCCCCCCACCCTGTTTAGATTCCTTGACACACAAAGGAATACTTCTTCTTGACGTCGGCCCTATGTCGTCCTCATGTTGGGTTTCCATTCTATTCCACATTTCTCTCTGGTTGGGATGCCCCCACCATTGCTGGATACGCCATTGTACTTATCTATTCTTATGCCTTCACTTAGCTCTGTGTGACTTTTGCTATGGTTTCTTTTACTTGCCTTTCGTAGATTACTGTTAACGGCATAAATATAAGCTTAAAATTCAACCTTGCAAACCTTTTGTATGTTGAACTAAGTTGTGTTTGCTATATACAGGGTGTCCAAAAAGCAAATGCAACAAGATTTTGATTGGTAACATGTGGCTGTGTGCAAACACTGACAAGGGTTTGTGCTTGTACACTAGATGATTGCCGGGATTAACGCCCGTGGTTCGATTTGTTACATCAAGGGATGCAGCTGATTTGAGATTAGTGTTACAATTAATTATTATTTACGATAACATGATATCAATAATTTTGTGATATATTTTAAGAAAAAAGTAGTAACCTAAACGTGTATATGGTGCCGCCTTCTACTTTCTCTTCTATCATACTTCAAAATTTGTATTCCTATATTATTATAAATGTATGATCATACATTACATGCCTCTTAGTGACAGTACTTGAGATGTACGTAAACTGCCATATATTGCTCAAAATGTTATGTGTCGACCGCCGTGTCCCATATTGCATCACCAACTTCATGACGCGCGCATGATGACGCTTGGGTTCAGAAACCGGAAATCGCTTCTATATGTACATGTACACCTTAAAAGAAGAGTGGCACATTTGAAAATACACTACATCAGTGGTAGCGATGTTGGTAAAACACCTTGCTTTTATTTAAAAAGGGATCTTGTATTTCTACTTGTCTCAAATTTTAATGGAGGCATATTTTAGCGAAATGTTGCTTTATTTTAAGAACGCTACCCTGAAATCCAATGTGTTGCATATAACCGGCCGCTCGAAAGGACTTCATACAAAATCAACCATTTAAGCACCTTCTCGGAAGTGTGTGAACATTACAAGGACGTATTGCCTAATCTGTAAACAATGTACGTGTATGTAGGCAATACTACCACCGTGTATTGAAAATTGATATCTAGAAAGTATTGGTGATTCTTATATTTTGTTGTCGTTAGTAGAATTATTATTGTTATTATTTTCATTGTTGATGTTATTCATATCATTTTGATAATTATTGTTATCACCATATATTATTATGCTGCTTTATATTGCAGCTGAACTATACTATATACTTTTGGAAAATAATTTACATTTTTATAACAGTACTATTTCGAATATGCATGATATATGTTTTTTATCAAATCAATGCATTTAAGCAGAATCCTATATTTGATTGGATTGGTTGAAATGGGGCTTGTACTTTGTTGCTATATATTCAGATATCGAAATAACTAAGATTCGATTTATGTTATTTTCAACATTTCAATCAGTCATGAACTTAAATGATAGAATTTAAAAAATGATTATTAAGAATTACTATTCATTCATGATAAAAAATTCCTATCCTTCGGAACCGATGGCAAAGACTTCAATGAAATCATCCTAAGAAAATTTCAATAGCTTTTTGCCTCACGTTTTGAAATGTGCGAAGATTGCGATGACATAATTTACATTTGTTATAGTCCTGCTTTTTTCCATGCATGATTCATATTATAAGACAGTTGATATCGTGTAGTCCATGTGTATACATGTATTTAGAATGTAATTATGTTGTAGTTCTTTCATGTACAAAAGAAAAGAGGGGGAACATAAGGGCCATATTGAAACACAGATGTTGAATAAAGATATATTTATTGTATTTACAACACTGCTTTTGAATAAATTATGATTTTAGTATATCAATAACAATTAGAATGTAATTACATGTAGCCATGATTACCACGTAATCGAATAATCATGCTCATTTGGTCAATCGGATTACCATCTTACGTGTAATCATGATTATTAGGTAATTATGATCGTCGTGCAACCATGGAATCTTCCTGGCTATCATGTAATAATGATTATAATTTTATAGTGAAATAATGATAATCTTGTTATTCTGTACCATGACTACATGCGATCGTACAACAATAATCATCGTGTGATCACTAGTGTCATACTGATAATATGGCCATTTACATAGCACAGCTACGATACAAATATCATGCTATTAATACCCCGGATGCAGGCCCGTAACTAAGATTTTAGTGGGAGATGCAGAGATTATATGAAGTGGACCATTTTGAGGGCGCGCAATTAAAGTGCCCGAGCGATTGAAGGTTCTAGAAGGAGTTCTGTACAGGGACTGTAAGGGGTCTGGGGAGGGTGTCCCCCCCTCCCGTGGTAGGTAAAACTATGGCACATTTATGTCTGAAGATCAAGTTTTAGGTACATTTTTTAACATCCAAACTGTTTCAAAAATAACTGTGTCCTACCTATGTTGTTTGTACCTTTTTCTTACCTATATCATACTGAGCATCCTCCTCCTTGGATTGCTCTTCTAAAATATGTCTACTACCTCCTCCAGGTTGATGACCTTGTCATAATGAATATGCATGAGCAGTGGCGTAGCGTTGGCTCATACATTCTTAGTCTACTAGATCGTCGTTTTTCAACCTTTTTTTTTAATCACGCCATACTTTTAGAGTTGAAAAGTTTCCCGTTATTATTAATGTTATCACCGTATATTAATTTTCTGCTTAATATTGCAGCTGAAACTTTACTATATACATTTGAAAAATATTTAACATGTTGTATAACAATACTTTTTCGAATATCCATGATATATGTTTTTCATCACATGAATGCTTTTAAGCAGATTTCTATACGTATTATGGTTGGGATTGGTTAAAGTGGGCTTTTACTTTGTTGTTATATATTCAGATATCGGTATATTACTAAGATTCAAATTATATTCTTTTCTTTATTTCAATCAGTCATGAACTTTAATGATAGGATAACAAAAATGATTATTAAGAATTACTATTCATGATAAAAATTCCTATCCTTCGGAACCGTTCGCAAAGACTTCAATGAAATCAACCTAAGAAAATTTCAATAGCTTTTTGCCTCACTTTTTGAAATGTGCGAAGATTACAATGACATATAAATAAAATTGTTTTTAGTCCTGCTTTTTTCCATGCATGATTTATATTATAAGACAGTTGATATCGTGTAGTCATTGTGTATACATGTAGTTAGAATGTAATTATATTGTAGTCCTATCATGTAAAAAAAAAAAAAAGGAACATAAAGGCCATATTGATACACAGAAGTTTAATAAAGATATAGTTATTGTATTTACAACACTGCTTTTGAATGAATTATGATTTGGGTATATATCAATAACAATCAGAATGTAATTACATGTAGACATGATTACCATGTAATCGTATAATAATGTTCATCTGGTCCTGTTACCATGTTACGTGTAATCATGATTATTAGGTAATTATGATCATCGTGCAACCATGTAATCCTCCTCGCTATTATGTAATTATGATTATCATTGTTTAGTGAAATAATGATAATCTTGTAATTGTGTACCATGATTACATTAGATCATACAATCATAATCATTGTGTGATCATAAGTATCATACTGATAATATTGCCATTTACATAGGACGGCTACGGTACAAATATACTTAACAAATGACCATGCTATTACCCCGGATTCAGGCCCGTAACTAAGATTTTAGTGGGGATGCAGAGATTATATGAGGTGGACCATTTTGAGGGCGCAAAGTGCCCGAGCGAAGGAAGGCTCTAGAAGGAGGTCCGATAAAGTAAGTGTTAGGCGCTATATAAGCAAAAATAATTAATTATTTGTTCATTGTGAAAATAAAACTTCATATCTGAAATAGTATACCTTATCAAAACACCCAATGTGATATATATTTGATAATCTTGCGGCTACCTATACTTTGTTTCTATGAATTCGACGTTATTGCAAACTATATAACTCGCGGCAAAAAAATATTATCGCGGCACCCCAGTTGAAACACGCTGTACAAGATGGAGGGGATATATCCGTTGCCCCTTTAGAGCGGGAAGGTTTTACATTCTAAAGTTAAACGGACACAGACACATACTCTCTCTGTCTCTTTTCCGGAATGGCCTCTATATTTTACTCCCATCTTCATTTATTTTTCCCTTTTTGATGTTCACTACAACAAGGACGCAGATCAGATCGCCCCAAAGCATTTTTCAATAATAGTTTCATGTACTTCTTACAACAGATTTCATTTATGATACATGCATTTTCAAGCAATCTAACTCAGTATATTTTCTTGTCATGTTATTTGTTTTCTTTTCCTTCATCTCTCACCTCGCTGTCACTTATACCCCCTCCCCCCTTTTTTTTCCCCGATTCGATTGACGGGACAGGTGCCCCCATGCCCGAGTAGCTAAGGCACTGGCTCGCATTATTTAATTTTATTTTCATTCATTTGCAGTTCTGAATACATAATGTCAGTATACATCAAAAACATACATGTACAAATATAAACGTATACAATTAGTTTTAAAAGAACTGGCCAGGGGTCGAAGATAAGCGAAGTTTGATGCCTTGTGAACCCTGACAATTAAGTACAAGTTAAATACATAAACTAGGGGGTACCTTGTGATGCAAAATTACAACAAAGATAATAGAAGAATGATAGGTAGAGACTGAAGAGTGATTGGTAGAGAAAAAGAGAGAGAGAGAAAGAGAAAAAGAGACACACAGAGAAAGGGGAGTTGAAGTGAGAAGGAGCTACAGATGATTGCACGTACCGCTGCTATTAAAGAAGTCATAAATATTCATGACTAAACAGTATATTGGGAGAGCAGCATTATTTTCAATGCTACTATTAATTCCATCTCTGAGCGAATATTCATGTGATCTAAAGGCAGGGAATTCCATATGCCCTGGCCGCGACTTTTTTAACCTAACCTAGCCATCATATTAATTAATGGAAGCGGCTTGGAAAGAGGCCACAAATATGTAGATTTTGATTATTTTTTGCTTTGCCTCACTTTTAAAAAGGCAAACAATAGGCCACCATTCTAGAATTGTAGTACGCTGACCTTACCGATCAGGCAAATGTAGGTTTATATGAATTAGCATAATATATCCATAACCCTAGCCCTCATCCTAATCCTAACCCTAACCCGAACCCTAATCCTGACCCGAACCAAATCCCTAACTAAACCCTATCCTTTAATCTTAAGGTATAACCTATATTCTAAAGTACGTAATATCATGAATATTCGTGAGATTCGACTAAATATAAACCGTATTATCACTATCACTTCCATTAGTATAACACGCGCACCTACGGTGGCTAGATTAGGTTTTTATTACTAATATATTAGCTTTGTTCAACCTTTTTTTAATTAGTCACGGCACCTATCTAGAAGTTATGGGGGAAAACCAAAAAACATATTAGTGTGAAACCAATACACAGGCAAGCGCTCCGAATCAATGAGTATTGCCGAATTTCTATTCATGAAACTTCCCGAAACACTCCGTACCAGCCTTTTTGTTTTAAATTGATATGCGTGGGCATCTGAACATGAATGATCACCCTATGCGTATAGTGTGATCCATTGACAATCAGAGCTTTGCATTTATGAATAGCTTCTCAAGAACAATAAACAGAACGGGGTACAGCATGCACACTGCCATAATGAGACAGGCATGTAGACTCGGTCTGCTGCGAGTTATTACTGTTGTTTGTGAATTTGATTTGTAGTTGACAGTCTGGGATATCGGATATTATAGGCGAAATTGAATATTGGGATTTATTTACTACAGTGTTGCGACACCTTGAGGTACATGACATAGCACATAGGTAAGTACGTACATTGTAGCGCTAAGAAGTATAGGCACTGTTGAGTGCCAAAAGGGTGTTAGGTTAACGCCTGTCTGGCCATCAAAAAATATGCAGCCGATGAAATCATTGTTAGTAAGTGTATTTTAAACAATTTTGGGTTGGGAGAAAATGAGAATGGAGGTGGGGGGGGGGGTGACGTCCCTCGATCCTTTTTCTCGGATACTCCACACGGCGCGAAAAAAATGCAGATAATTGTTAAAAGGTATACAGCAAGAAGAATGCTTTTGAACGGGATGGGGAATGAGTGAAATTCCTATCATTTGGTTAATATCAAAACCACAGGGTATTGATTTAGTAGTCAGGCTTTTCTTCATTGCCTCCACAAATTTTCTTTCGCAATGTAATCGCATGGACAAAACTGATACATATCTTTGAATTTAACAGTTTACACCGAAGTTTAATCCACGCACATTGTGTTCACCGGCATAATCGATACCATACTCCATGATGTCAAAGCCACAGTTTGTTTTTCTTTTCTCCGTTTCTTGCACTTTCAACACATTTTGTTCCTTTATGTCTACACAAAACTACGTTGTTATCCATTAAGTTGGAATTACCGAAATAAATGAAATGATTGTGGCAGTATTGAAGAAAATAAGTGTGTAATGATAAGGTTAAAAGAGAAACTATACATTCTTACCACTCCCAGTATAGCAACAAAGAAAAAAATGTGGACACTCTTTATTGCTCAGAATTTTTAAATAAATCATTGATAAAATATAATGAGATATATGTGAGATTAAAAGAACATTGATACTCTGCTAACATGAATTAAGATCAAGTTTTGAAGTTTCACGCTTGTTAGGGCACATCGATTTAACCGTTACTTAAACGTCTGTTTAAGACAATTTCTAAATAGAGCAAACAGCCATTCAAAAGTTGATTAACATGGGCATGTGTAAGTCATCTTGTTCAACAATGAAAACAAAGAATGTGAAACAATGA